CACCAGGTTAAATGGCATCCCTCTCGTTGTCTCTGTTACTCACTCTCCAGTCACTGATTTCGTTGACTGATTCCTCATTCGTTCCTCTCAAGTCAAAAAGCGCTGCCTCTCTCTCGCCTCCTTCTCGCACAGTGTTTTCTCACTGTGGGTGAGTGGGCAGCACGGCCGTCCTCCATTCAGAGGGTTGGCGGTTCGACCCCAACCACCGGGCTAATCCGCGTGAGGGATGTGTCCTTGGGCAAGACACTTTAGCCCAACATTGGTCCTGCCGCGGCGACCACAGCGTGTGGATGCTAGTTGCTGACGAGCAGGTGGCGCCGGGTGTGGTGGCTGGTAGTGTGTGAATGGGTGTGAACGGGTGGACGACGACATGTGTCAAAGCGCTTTGAGAGGTCGGAAGACGAGAAAAGCGCCATTCACCACACAGTCCATTTACCATTTATAGGACCAGAGGAGTCGCCCCCCGGTGGGCATGAGAGAGAATGCTGCTTTAAGACACAAAGCGTCGGCCGCTATCAAATAAAGTGCTCGGCTAGTATTTGTATCACTCAAGGGCACTGCTGTGGTTCCTGGTGGCTTTCTTTTTTAAATACTACTACTTTAGCGGTTACGTTATCAGGCTATTGGTTCCCGTCCCCGAGCTCTACACCTCTGACATCAACTGTCCCGCAGACTCTCACACCTGGTGTCGTCCTCACCAGCCTCCCCCACATCCACCACCACGAATACTGACTGAACAATGCCAGGGTATGTTTTTAAAAAAGCCTGTGCGTGTGTGCGTGTGCGTGTGTGTGTGTGTGTGTGTGTGTAGGAGGCAGACTGTGATTTGCTGGCGATGACTGGGGAGGGAGGGAGGACGGGGGAGGGAGGACAGGAGGTACGCATTGACCAGGCGCAGGCAGAGGGAGGCAGAGAGACGGAGAGCACCGTTCACATAAGACTCGTTTTGCGCTCTGCTATTCAGGCAGCCAGCTCTCCTCCTGCTCATCCTCCTCCTCCTCTTCCTGCTCCTCCTGCTCCTCCTCCTCCTCCTGCTCCTCCTCCTGCTCCTCCTGCTCCTCCTCCTCCTCCTGCTCCTCCTCCTGCTCCTCCTCCTCCTCCTGCTCCTCCTCCTCCGCAGCTGCAGCAGGGGGAAGGAAGTGCGGGATTGGAGCTTTGCAACAGAGAGATAAAGCTCTCGCAGAGGCGAGGAAGGCATGACAAGCCCCCCCACCTCCGACCTGCCTCCCCCCAAACACGCGTAACAGCCGAGCTTACGATGGGGAGGGACTGAAACCCCAAAGAGTCTGAGAGAACAGATAAGTGGATCACAGAGGAAGGGCCGAGCTGAGGGGGGAGGAGGAGGATGGAGAAGCGGACCTCCACACATGGACACGGGGATCGGGAGGAAGAAGGAGTGAGATAATCTGTCAAACTGATGGTGTCCATTTTACGGCAACAGGAGCGATCGAAACCTGGATCTCCTCCGCCTGCAACACGCCTCCTCTTCTGCTTTTTCTGCGTGTAGTATTTCTTTTTTTTATTTGTCATTGTTGTCATTGTTTTGGGGACTCGCTCTCTGGATTTCTACTCTCAAGTCCGAAGGCGGCCGTGCCTCCCCCCCTCGCCCTCCCTCGCACCTCCCTCTTCTGTGGGTGTGTGCGCGTATTCCATTTTTTGTCTTTTACTTCTTGATTTTCTGCATTTCGTGCGCGTCGGGATTTTTTTTTCTCACGCGGTTGCGTTTGGCACCACCTGCGCGCGCGTTGGTGCGTGCGCGCGTGCGGGCTGGAGGATTGTCGTCGTCGCCACCAAAAGGGGAACAGCTGGACAGGTGTCACCTTCGGGTGACTCGGCTGGCTAGGACCCCCCCCCCCCCTCCCCTCTCTCCCTCCCTCCCTGGAACTACCGTCGCCCCAGTCGGAGCGAGGGTTGCTTTGTGTGCTTGTAGGGTGAATAATTCAGCGTCATGTGGGCACCCCGGCGCTGCCTGGTGGGCGTTGATCAAGACTCTTGACGGGCGACGCCGCGGGGGGTTCAGCGCCGGCAGCAGCCAGCTGATGTCTCTACCGATCACCGGCATCTGACGGCCTCATCGGACCGGACCGGACCGGCCCGCTTTTTCCTTCTCTTCGTCCCCTCTCTGGATCAACTTATCTTCCGCAGCGCATAGAAATCAAAGACTCAATACTTTGAAGGGGGGAGGGCGGGAGGGGAGGGGAGGGGGAGGGTGCCCCCCCCGATTTTCCGCGTCCGGCGTCTCCGGAGCATGATCGGTGTCAACAGCCTGCACTCGGCGGGGCGCCTTCGCTCGCGCTCTCTTTGCACCGTGCGCTACGGGAGGGACTTCCGCATGATGGACCCGTTCCGGTACCCAAGGACGCCGCGCTCGCGTTCCCTCAAGCCGCTGGTGTTCCCGGACCTGCTGGGGAAGGCTCAGGACGGACAGAACCACCCGCAGGCCAGGAAGAGGAGGAAGGTACCCGAGTAGCAGATTCCTCATTGTTTCTCCGCGTGTTGGCACGTGTCATAACGAGTTGTAATTTAGGGCCAAATGACATTAGTTAAAAGTTGGTTTGCTGTCGCTGCCAATATTTACTATTGATGCGTAGAGCTCAGTTCAGCCATTCGAGGCTAACGGCTCCCATCTGTTGGCACTTGGTGACGTTGATGAAACAAGTAGGCGACGGTGACAAGCATCCATCATCGTCTCAATGAGCCTTCAGACTGGATGTCCCCGAGTCCCCACCCGCCCCTGTGTCTGTCTGCCGTCTCCTTTTCTCCTGTCTTTGAATCCACAGCGTCCCTCTGCTATTGATTCTGTTGTGATCCTTCAGGATTTATATTTTAAAACGAATAACATGCACTTTAGAATAAACTCAGCTGTAATACAGTTGTACTCACTCTGAATATATAGAAATTACACATAAATCACCACCCAGAACTCATGTGAGATGCGATATTCTAGCTGCTTTTCATTGTTTTACATGAGACGTGTCAACACTCCCAAACCCATCAAAGTACAGACGTTTGCTCGGTGGCCTCAATTTTCTATGTTCATATTCTGTAACTTTACCAACCCGTCTCCTAAAACTTAAGTTAAGGCCTAGCTGCTACGGGCTGGTGGTCCTGAATTCAGATTTAGAGTTTGCGGTTCGGCTCGGTTGGTCAGACAACAGGTGGCATTTCTGAGATCGTTTTAACGAAATGATCCAGCGGACGAATCAATAATCAGCCTCAGGTCTTCACTGTGTACATGTTGATTGCTTTTTCATATATGAATGATGTTCGGCTGCAGGGTAAATCTGGCCACAGCTCAGAGTTGAGTTTTTCTGCGTCGACGGACTCCTGTGGACAGAAGGTGTGTTGCTGTTGTTGAACACAACACACATCTTTTCAGTTTCCCCATTAATATTTCACGTTGACCGGATTGCTTCGACAGAAGCAGTTCGACTTCCGCCTTGAAACCGTTGGACGTTGGAGAAGTTCCGCTTTATTTCCTGTCTCTGATTATTCAAATGCTGAGATATTTACATATCTATTTACATGCTGATAATATTGAAATCAAAAGTGTTTTATTCTACCTGAAATAGGAAGCAAATGACCCCCAAAAATAACGATACAAAACATATCTGGTGCAAAGATGTGACAGGGAGTTAAATGCCAGCGTGTGATTGAACTGCCTTTGTGCACCGGATTGCTTTTGCTGCAATGAACACGAAGAAACATGAACAACATCCTGAACGTTTGTAGAAATGACACCAACAAAGAGAAACACAGCGTTACTACTCGTCTCTAAGAGTTTTCCTTTGATTTATCAGCTACTTTATTTGATGGATTTCCCAAAAAATGACACTCCTGTCTGGTGATTTTTTCCATATTGATTTTACGCAGAATCTGTATAATATTTCCATTTTATGTCACGTACTTCTGCACTGCAAATTTAATTTGCAAATATTACACTTTCTTTTTGGCCCACATTTATTGGACTGCTGTGATTGCTGTTACAGATTAACATGTTATACAAAAATACAATATATTTTTTACAATAACCATTAATGTGGATCAGAAGGCGGCAGGACGAGTCGCCCCGTTATCAGTCAGTGTAAGGGTGATGCTTACAGGTCGTCATTAAAATCATTTCTTCATTAGGCATCAATGGCCTACGGATTATTTTCAGTCACGTAAAACCCTTTTTGCAAACAGCACAACACTGTTTAAGACCTAATTATAACTGTCATTAAGCTTTGCTAATATCCGCTGTTATATTGATTAATTATTATTGGTCTGTGTATTATCTCATTATAATACGTATGCCTAAGTCTAACTTTTGATTTAGGACTTTAACTTGTTATTGATTAATGTATTTCCACTTTACCAATAACCGATCATCAACCACCTTTCCCATCTGCGACCAATTGCACAGTATATTGATCGGATTGATCATTTATATGAAAAAAAATGTCAATCTCACTTGCGCTAAACCCCTTATTTATTATTTAATATAAGGGAGAATAAATGCAAATCTTGAGCTGACAGTCATTCTTCTTCTTTGTGATTTGATCAGCACCCAGAGCGTGTTTCCACCCACGTCGTCGTCTGCTTTTTGTTTTCATCGATCTGTTTTATTTTTGTCTTCATGTTCTTGAGCTGTAACTTAATTTGGCCTGTCACCGGTCGACGTCTGAATTATTTAACGGGCCGATTGATTTGCCGGCTCGTCCATCGAAGGGCGGATAATGGCCAACTGATGCCGCGCTCGTTGACTGATTAGATGATTGATTTATTGTTTGCCAAGAAAATAAAAGGAGTTAAGCTCCGGCAAAGGGCAGCGTGAGGAGGGATGACATTTCTGAGAACAAGTTATTGAATGAAGCCGTCTTGCTTATTGTGCAGCTTTCCCAGAAAACCACAGTGCACCTGCCCCCCCTCCTTCCTCCCGCTAGATCTGATCAGCTGAACCGAGCTGCTCTGGATTAGTCTTTTGTCTGAAAATGTGCTCTCCTTGTTTCCCTCTGCAGGCGCTCTACAACTCAATCAAGAACCAGAAGCTGCAGTGGACTCTGTAAGTCATTTCATCTTTTTATGATTCACCTGGAACAACGGTTCTTATGTTTTCTGCTCCTGTTTGTGAAAAGTTTAAATTCTTGTATTATGCATTTTAAAGAGAAAACTGCCACAGTTAAGATAATTACTTTTTTGTACATGCTCTGACGTTGTGCTTATATATGCAAAATACACATTACGTAATCATAACTTCTGGTGAATTAAATCCACAGGGACAAAGAGACAAATTAATCAAATAAACAACCTAAATATGTATTTCTGATATTTTTATTTAATCTCATCTAAAATAACAATGACAAAACATTACATTTTTGCCTGTAGCGTTCTTTCTTAAATGTCCTTTTCCTATTCTACTCCTCCGTGATTTTGATTCTGTCGTTTGCTCCCTCGCTGATGAACTGAAACACACACACACACACACACACACACACACCAAATTGTCCAGAGGAGCAGGATGGATATTGATTAACCTGTTAGCGACCTCATTACGGACGTGAGTGTTGCCAGGCATGTGGAGGAAAACATTAGTGTGTCAAGAGTTGCTATTCTGGATCGCAGTTCCAGAGCGCCTCAGAGATGCCAATTAAGTCACTCGCTTTCCGAGCTTTGTTGCCATAGTTACGGCACCACGAACACAACTCCATAGCTACCACATTGCTCTTTCCTCCCTGCGTCCTCTCGGCAGCAAACACACACACGGTAACAGATGGATGTGTACTGTACGCACACCCGTACCCGGGGACTGTATGTTGGCTTCAGTACGTGTGAACACGAAGAAGCGAAAACGCAGGGAGACGTTGAGGCACTTAGTTTAAACGGCTCTCTACCTGCATCCTGTGAGAAGGTGTGACCACCGCCTCCCACCACCTCTCCAAAAATAGCTGCAGCCGCGCTCCCGAAACAGCCGAGCAGAAAGTGGTCAGAGGAGCGTATCGAGGAGGAGATCCACAGAGAGGCCGGCGATCCAGTTCAAACATCTCCGCTGGCACGCGGGCGGCTATTTAAACACCTCCGTAAGAGGCCGCGCGGGGACGGACACCACCTCTCTCACACAAACACCCCCCCCCCGCCCGAGCAAAGACGCCGTCCACCTCCAAACGGAAGTCACAGATATTTTCTAATTATCGTGAAGTGACTTCAGCCTCAGCTCTGACGGACCCGCAGCACGGTGTCACTTTCCGCACCGCTTTCACACTCTGACTTGCCTGGTTGATGCATATTTCATCACACGGAGGACATTTCTTCCACTTGATGGAGATCAAGGCCCGACACCGCGTGACGGATACGCTTCAGCTCCGCGTCGCTTCAGAGGACGCACAGCTCGTCCCGTCCTCGTGCTCGTCCTCGTGCACGTCCTTGTGCACGCCCCGTGGCGTGGTCAGTTTGTGCGTTGGCAATTTGCAGGTCGTAATGACGGGTGTGTGGTGCTCTGTGATGTCTGGAAATAGAAACAGATTCATTGCCAAGAAGGTTTTTTTACATGCAAGGAATTTGTCTTTGTGCACAAACAAGTACAGCTCAGAGAGTCACATGGAGGAAAAACATGTGTTAGAAGGAAAAGGGTTTTTAGGGTTTTCTTCTCACCAGTTTGGAATTGCGCGAGAAGATGCAGCTGTTAAAACGCACTTCATGTGACACAAACCAGAGAAGATGTCGACATTGTGCGTTTCTGCAGAGAGGTGGATCTTTTGAAGGTCGATGTCTCGAACCAATCATCACTTTCATGGACAACTTTTATGCCAGCTTTATGTCACCTGGCTTAAACGCACAATGTCACAAGGTTAACGTTGGGAAACGATTCGTTAGGTGATAAAATATGCAAACTTACAATATATATTATATAATATATAAAAATAGTATAAAATGTAAAATAAGAACATATGTCACCCGAGTAACGTAACAACTTCATTTAGCAATTTAATGCTACGATGCGACGTAACCTAACAACATAACTAAAAAAGTAACCACACTGAAATTATAATGAAACTATATATTTGAAACTTTGATTGACTCATCGAGGTGTGTGTGTGTATGTGTGTGTGTGTGTAGTACATTAACACAACACAGGACACAGCAATGGATGTTGTTTCACACCCCCGCGGAGAAGAGGACTCGGCCACTCTCTCGGCGGTGCAGATGGATGCACCCACATGTTATCCACTGGTACACAAACAAAGACACTCACACACAGGTTTCCTCATCCAGCAGCGGGGGCGGAGGGCCCACGGAGGGTGGAGGTGGAGGTGGTGGTGGGCATCCACGCGGGGAGATCTGAAGATGTCATGGAAAGCTTCTGCTCGTTTACTGCTTCCGTTCTGGAGAGAATCACTGACGTCATATCATTAGTAGTACAACAGTACTTTGTGTGGAGGAAGTAGTAATAACACAGCGTGAAAATACTCAGAAGTCCTGCATTCATAAAGTACAAAAGTACTAGCAATGCACATTTACCAAAATAATCAGCATGCAGAAAACAAATGATATATATTATTGGATTATAATTGGTTTGTTCATCGCTTTAACTGCAGCTGGCAATCATTTTACATATTTGATGTATTGCTGCTAGTTTAAACTGCAAAAATACAGCATTATACGTACATTAATTTATACGTGCTGTTAGAAATCTAAATCTGCAAATATGCTTGACTAAATAGTTTTTTACGTATTTTACGTGGTACTTATCTCCACATAAGTAGAGTACCTGAGTAAGTGTAACGTGAATACCAAAGTAATGAAAGCTGGCGTTGAAATAACGCTCACAGTCCTCATTAGTTCAATAAATCATAAAAAGGTTTAATTCCAGATTTCAATCACAACTTGTCGGTTTCATACAACGTTCCTGCTTTGTCTTCTTCTGCTGGAGGAAAAACCATCTTCTATCTCCCGAATGGAAACGCCTTAGTTGAGTCATTAAACAGCGGAGAGCAAGAAAGATGAAGTGACGCCGTCTTTCTCTTGTTGCTACACTGAAGCAGCAACTTCAGCACAAAGCACCCAGCATGCATTTCTTTCATCTGGTTTTCTTCGTATTGCATCAACACACCGTTTCTTTACTTCTCTCTCTCCTTTCTTTTCCTTTTTTTCAGTTTTCCTTTCTTCTTTTTCCAGTCTTTCCAGTCCAGTTTGTTTTCTCTGTTTAATGTATTAATCTTTTCCATTTTTTTTCATTTCCCTATTTTCTTTCCTTTTCATTTGTATATTTTCCTTTCATCTCCCCTCCCCTCTTTTAATTGAACTTATCTTAATCTCTTTCCACCCTCTTCTCCTTTTCTTTTCCTTTCCTTTTTCAGTCGTCCTATTCTATTCCCTCGTACATTTCCTTTTCTGCTTTCTTTCTTCTTTTCTCCTTTAAAATCTGTTACCGTTTTCTTTTTGTTTCCTTTCCTCTCTCCCTTTCTGAGCCCCTTCTTTAATTTCCTCTTGTTTCCTTTCCTTTGTTCCCTTTACTCTCATATCATTGTGGATAACGTTCTGCCATCAGAGAAGGATGAGCTTATTCGTATCTCTCACCCTTCTCCCGTCCTCCCCTCCACTTTGTCTCTGTGTAGAATGGGATTCAGCAGTTACCAGGCAACAGGCTGGATGCCCATTGGCTGTGTCTCTGCCTCCCTCTTCTCTCTCTCTCTCTCTGGCTCCCGTTTGGGGTTAACTGCTGTTATGTACTGTTGGTTACTCATACCGTGGTCTCGGGGGGGCTCGGCACGCAGCCACATTTTCTATTTTCGGGCTGAACTTTTTGCACGGGTGCCGCCTGCTGAGGTAACAAGTGGATTTGCCGCGTTGCCTCGGCGGGGAGACGCTTGGCGTCGCTGCCTAAAGCATCTCTCGTCTCCTAATGTGACAAATCCCTCTGTAAGCGCACGGCGAGGAGATGTATGGAGGAGAATGAGATTAACACGACTAGTGATATTTACAGGAAGAACTCTGCTTATGTCAAATGTAATACTGTCATTACCGTGATGTGTATTAATAATCTTTAGTTGTACAGCAACAGAAAGGATTTTAACAAACCAATGAAATGAATGATGCTGGTTGCACAAACAATAAAACAAAAATGCTAATAAAATAGGGATGAATAAATATAGAATATGCCGATAACAATGTTACTCCATAACAATGTCAGTAAAAACATTTTAAATTGCTATTAAAACACAGCTATTTAAAATATATTATTAATACAAATATGATTAAACAGTAATGTTTGTAAGAAAAACCCCATCTTAAATGTTAAGCAGTTAAAAATAAGAAGTCTGTAACAGATAAGAACATATGTTAAGATAAAAGCATTTAAAGGTTGGTATAGAAACAGTCATAGAATAAGCCATTAATGAAAAGTAGCTGGTAGTTTAAGATAAAAGCAAAAGGAAATTGGGTTGAAAAGTCTTACATCATCCAAAGAAAAATGTAAACTTACTGTTCTCTTCTTGGAGAAAGTTAAAAGACAAACATAAAGGGACTTGTTTTGCGGGGAAAACACACACACACACACACACACACACACACACACACACACACACACACACACACACAGGAGAGGAGTTATAAAATAATAAAGCTGCAGTTGACGCCAGAGCTCATTTAGAAGTTCGGCTCCTCAAGGCCTGTTTCTAACGAGCAACGTTCTCTCAAACCTCTGAAAACCAAAAAGAGCCGGCTGGATTAACTCATATTCTGAGAGGGAACAGGCGCTGCGCCTTCAATACAAGTGTACAAGTACGTCAACAAGCAGGATTAAAAACAAGAATACCTCAAACCAATTCCCATGAAATAAAATGTGAAATAATACAAACCCACTCGATCCACAGGACACAACGACATCATCAAGAAGTTTGTCCTCAATCATCCATTTGGCTGCGAGCTGTGGCGCCACGGCGCGATGGCGAGACGAGTGACGACGTGTCCGCTCTTGAGACGTGACACTTAAGCGTTGGTCACCACAGGATCTGTCTTGATTATTCATTTGTTTTGTCTCCATAGCGACGAGGAAGAGCTGCGAAAGTCGTTTTCAGAGCTGGGGGACAGTCTGTGTGAGACCAGCGCGTCCCGCCCGGGGAAGGGGGAGGGCGGCGGCGGCGGCGGCGGTGGCGGCGGCGGTGGCAGCGGCAGTGGCAGCGGCGGTGGCGGGAAGCCGCTGACGGACGAGACGCAGCATCCGTCTGGATCGCTGCTTTACAAGAACGGCTTCCTCGTACGCAAAGTCCACGCCGACCCGGACGGCAAGAGAAGTACGAAGACTCAAAAACAGAAAGTAAACGCAGAAATGAGACAGCAGTCTCAGTCAGCGTGTTAGTGTAGATTTCTGAAGTAATGTGTTTAACGTGAGCTGAGGAGATTTAAACGTTTAATCATCTGGTATGAAACAGTGAACGCTCCTCAGGTGGATTTTACAACGCGTCTTAATGAGAACTAACCGTCCTCACTGGAGCACTTGTCCTCCTTTAGCGTAGTGGTGGAGACATGAAGTCATGTGACCGTGGGGGAGTTCCTCCTGTTTGTGCTTTTTACTTAACACCTCCAACATCAATAAAGTGGCATAGTGAAGATTATCTCGTTTCCATCAGTAATAATCCAATGGAATAATCCCATTGGGTTTATTGAGGGAAGCAGTAAGCTTTACTTTAACGATATTAGACCAACACAAATGTCCTCCTCTCGTCCTACAACGGTCCTAAATGGAAACGCGTGTTCTTCCTCGTTCCGCCGTGATGTCAGAGAGCTCTTCTGTTTCAATGTGAGCATCTTTTCTCCTCCTCTCAGCTCCGAGAGGGAAAAGAGGCTGGAAGACGTTCTACGTCATCCTCAAAGGGCTCATTCTCTATCTGCAGAAAGTAAGTCTCTCCTGTTAATACGGAGTACATTTCATGTATAAATACTGCTGTGTGACAAGTTATTTGTAACAGCTACTACTTGATATTCATTATTCAACCTTTAGAATAACAAGTGACTGCATATCCATGAACATCCTCACTTCCCTCACGATGATTCAGTGTGTTCCGTCTTTTATTAGGTCACATAATGCACAAAATGTTTATAGTTCAAAGGGAGTCACATTTCCTCTCTGCTTTTGTAAAAAGAGCTGTGACATGTCTTGTTAACTTGATTTTGGATTAAATTTCTACTTAATTTATTTGTTATTTTGCTCATTCGTCCAGGCAAAGATTTTTTGACAAATGAGGACTTTAAAATGTGGCTTATTTGGTTAAATAATAAACTGTTTCTTATGATAAAAGCATTACATTTATCAAAGTAAGAATTGTTTTTGTTCTAAGTTTCTAAAATTTCCATCAACACCCACTAAATCACTCTATTGTAATTTTTTTAATACATTATTACAGTATCACCTACATTTAAAGTTATTGTTTATTCAGCAAAACGTTCAGAAAAGTTTATATTTCAATCACAAACATAAAAAGTTTTACATTCAGTTTGAAAACATTGATAAGGAAAGGTTGCTTTGGTATTGTTGCAGATTAACACAGATGAATTCATCTCATCAGAGACTCGTGGGTCGTTTTTCTGCAGGGATTCTTTCGATGCAGAGTCTCTCTCCGGCTCCGATAAGTGCTCAGACCCCTCGCTGTTAATCGCAGTTTTCATTTCTTATTCATCACTTGCCGCGCCAGGGGGAGTACAGGCCGGACAAACACCTCTCCGAGGAGGACCTGAAGAACGCTGTGTCCATCCACCACTCTCTGGCCATGAAGGCCTCCGACTACAGCAAGAGGCCCAACGTCTTCTACCTGCGCACCGCCGACTGGAGGGTTTACCTCTTCCAGGCGCCGTGAGTAACCCGGAGAGAGAGAGAGAGAGAGAGAGACGAGGAGGCAGCTGTGCTGGTGTGCAGAGACCACACGTTGAGCTGGATGTGTGCATGTATGGATATGTGTATTCACATGGCGAACGTGTAAGAGGAAAGGTGGAGGTCAGCATGTGTGTGTGTGTGTGTGTGTGTGTGTGTGTGTGTGTGTGTGTGTGTGTGTGTGTGTGTGTGTGTGTGTGTGTTACGAGGATCCAGAAGTGGCACGCGAGTGGCCACATGTTTGAGCTCTCGCCCCCCACAAGGATGGGCTGTGTGCTCCAGTTGCAGCTTGCATTTGTCCCAGATACTGTACCTCTCTCTCTCTCTCTCTCTCTCTCTCTCCGTCCACGCGGATGATTCAATCTGATATTCCTCACGGGCCCCTAATGGCTCTCTTAGTGTAAATCAGGCCCCCTTTTTTTCTCTGTTGCATTAATTGGCTCTGGAATCATTTCTTTGTCAATAATTAACCCTCTGATGACAAAGACCAAAAAATGTGAGCACATTACACCAATTCTTAAATCCTTACATTGGCTCCCAGTATGTCAGAGAATTAATTTCAAAATCCTACTGCTCACATATAAATCACTACATGGTTTAGGGCCAAAGTATATCACTGATATGCTTCCACTACATAAGCCTTCAAGATCACTAAGATCTTCTGACGCCAATCTGTTAGTGATTCCCAGAGTAAATACAAATCATGGGAAAGCATCATTTAGTTACTACGCAACAAACAGCTGGAATAAACTTCCTGAAGATTTAAGACTTTGACAACTCTGACCACGTTTAAAACAAGACTGAAAACTTTTATGTTCAGCTTCGCCTTCTGCTAAATTTTACCTACATGGCACTTTTAACCTCTGCCTTTAATTAAACAATTTAAATAAGATTTTAATTTATAATTTTATTTGCTGTTTTTAATTGTCTTTTAATTCCTGCATTTTTTTCACTTTATTGTATGAAATGTTATGATGTGAAGCACTTTGAGTCTGCCTTGTGTATGAAAAGCGCTATACAAATAAACTTGCCTTGCCTTGATGTTGGTGCTAGTAGCCGCGTTCCGAAGTGAGCGTGTGGGTAGCAGCTGATCAGTGTGTTTTAGATCTGTTTGTAAGATTGTTGTTGTTTTTTGGGTGACAGGAACGCGGAGCAGATGCAGTCTTGGATCACGCGGATCAACGCGGTTGCCGCCATGTTCTCAGCTGCTCCTTTCCCAGCAGCCGTCGGCTCACAGAAGAAGTTCAGCCGGCCGTTGCTGCCGGGCACAGTGTCGAAGCTGTCAGAGGTACAGGGGGCTGTTTCTAGTCCAACGGGGGCAGGGGGGGCCAAGGTAGATCGCCATGGTAACCTTCTCCAGGGAAAGTTTGCGTTTGAGGCAGGCGGCAACTTCCAGTTCTGACGAGTCGAAGGGTTGTGTGCGTTCTGTTTACGGACCACCAGGGGGCGACTCCTCTGGTCCTATAGAAGTCTATCAGAAAATGAGTCTACTTCTCTCTTGATTTATTCCCTGAGTAAATATTGTAAACATGAGTTTATGGTATCTGGTTTCTTCTTCAATACAGCATGGTGTTTATTTAGTCATTGAATTAAGTGAGTAAATTATGGTCGATTTAATTTAAATTTAAATTATGGCCCATTTAGAGTCAAACAGACAATGAAGCAGAGGATGCTTAACACAACTGGCGGATTGTATACAACGTTTCTACGTTATTAAACAGTTCAAATGCGGTTACTTTCTCGTCATTGGATGCTGCAAAAAACAACAGTCGGAATTGGTGAAATTGCGTAACTTGGCGCTTCACAAAGTCATCGCCGTGTGATGTCACGGTGGTTTTCTCCTCTTTTTATATTCAATCGGTGGTTTGAGAAATATAGAAGCGCCGCCTGCCGACCAATCAGAACTCGGCACCTAGATTGTAAGATAATATTTAAGAGAATCTATCACATCACTGCTTCATTAGACCGTAATACAACAGAGTGTAATTACATCTGTGTATTCTGTTAAGTTGCAGATGTACCTCCATGCCGTGTGTGAGAGACGCTTTGACCTCATTCTTATAGCCGTGCGCTCTCGATGAAGCGGTGACATCATAAATCTGTTGATTCACACAGTCGCTCATGTATGATACTGTGATACCTTCGGCCTGAATTTGGTCTTTTAACACCTACACATTTGTCCAATGCCTGTGATTGTTCACATGCTGCAAACCCCGCCCCTTTTAACTGAACTCGCTCACAGTCAGATTGATTGACAGAGGTGATAACCAGCTTAGCGGAATGCCGGTTGCTGGGGTAACCGTAGGAAAAGAGAGCTGTAGCCTTGTTGAGCACAGAGACACGCGTCTGAGTCGAATCCAGGATGCTTGTAAATCCATCAAAACCTGCGATGTAATGGCAGCGTAATGATCTGTTCCTTGCAGCCATTTTCATAACCTCATGGCAGAGTAATTAGAATGAATTTTTCATGAATAACCACTCCACTTAACACCGATGTGATATATTACCAGCGGTGACTCGTTGTTCACGACTGCAGGCGCTTCATTCATCACCTCGATCTGTTGACTATTAAAATATTTAGTAGTTATTTGTCCCTGGGCGCCGTGTCCTTGGACGAGTTTCATAAGTGAACTTGATAGTCTGCAGGAGCCTTTAGGAGGATAAAGGTAAAAACATTTTTTTTTTTAATGAAATAAGCTTGGCATTCAAAAACTGTCCAGCAACTGTTTGCTTTCGGAAGAAGAGGCAGCCGTTTTATTGCCATGTATTGTTTACACATACAGGAGTTTGTTCTTTGCATTTAACCCGTCCCACACAGTGGGAGCAGTGTGCTGCCGTACAGGCGCCGGAGGAGCACTTAGGGGTTTAGATGTCTTGCTCAGGGACACTTCGACGTGGGACATGGAGCAGCCGGGGCTCCAACCCTGCGGTTCCCGGTGCATCCTGTCCACTCCACCCCCCTGGTGTCCCCCCTGATGTCGGCGTTGATCTTGTGTTCCCAGGAGGAGCAGATCAGATCCCACGAGGCTCGATTCAGAGCCCTGTCCACTGAGCTGGCTGAGCTGCACTCCTATCCCCCCGACCGAAAGGTCAAAGGCCGCGATCTTGATGAGTACCGCCAGCGGGAAGAGTATCTAGAGTTTGAGGTGAGCTAGACTCAAAAGAAAGATCTTTTTAGCAGCTCACTCTTTTGCCTCCCCCGACCCCTACACTGTCTTTCTCTGCACATCCACAGAAGACGCGGTACGGGACGTACGTGATGCTGCTGCGGGCTAAGATCCGGAGCGGCGAGGAGGACCTGTCCGTGTTCGAGTCCCAGCTGCTGGAGGACAACGGGCTGCAGAGGGCCCAGTCCAGCCCCACGCTGCAGGACAGCAGCCAGGCCAGCCAGGCCAGCAGGGACGGGGGCACCAGCAGCAAGGCCAGCGGCTGCAGCAGCAGCGGCGGCGGGGGCGGCGGCGGGGGCGGCCGGCACCGACCGGACGGCCAGAGACACAGCTACCGGCAGGCCGTCAAGAAGTGAGCCAGGGCGGGGGGGCGCCGGGAGCGGCACGGCGTTGCACTGCCAGCGGCAGGCTGACTCCCTACATGAGGTTTTTATTTGAGATCCAGGAGGGTTTGGAGCTCTGCTTGGAGGGGGAGCAGGAGTCAGGGGGGCGGGGGGGGTCTACCCACCCTCCCCCACCGTCACCACGACCCACGACGCCCTCCCCTCCTCACGGACCGGAGGAGAGGCGGACCTGTGTGCCTGGTGCAGGAGGTCACAGATCTGCCCGGGCCGAGGCGCCTTTGAGGAACGCGCGCCAGGCCGAGCGGCGAGAGGGCGGGAGGCGAAGGTGCGGCGACGAAAACCTTCCGGCTTGCTTTTTTCTCGCCTCCTTCTCCCGCCTTTGTTCTTCTGACCTTTTCGGGGACCAAAAACGTAGTTGAGCATCTCTTCCCCGGACGACTCAACGTGGGTCTGAATCCCTCAGAGCGTTGAAGCGCTGTAATCGTCACCACCACCGTTCCTTTTCTCTCACCGCGTTCACATTCCTGTTTTACCGAAAGTGGCAATGGGGTTGATTCCGTGAAGCGTACGCTGCACTCTGGGATGAAGGCGTGGCCGCGGTGCTCGGTGACGGGCCAACCAGAGGGTGTCAGCAGAACTTCCCAACACCTCATCCAGAGACGTCTTCTTCTTCTTCTTCTTCTTTTTGCTGTACTGTAACAGGAGACCCGTTTCCAAGTTGCTTCGGCTTCTGTCCCCGTGATGTGCTTCTGTTTCTAGTTCTTGGCTGTGTGTTGTTTTCTTCCCGTGATCTGCATGCCTGCATCCTGCTCTGCTTCTTTTAGGCCTTTTACTACTTTTAAGGGCAAAACTGAGAGCTGCAACACTTATCTGGGGTCACTTAGGTCCTTTTTGTTATGTCTCTCCCCAAAATGTGTATTCTCCGTCTGTACGTATAGCCTTTAATTTATACTTACCTATTTTAACACTCACCAGGCAGACCCTGAATGTTCTTTTCAATATTTTTATGGTATTTTACAGTCGTTCGTTGGTGTTGAACCTTTTCCTCCTGTGTATGTCAAGTGTGTATTGAAAATGTAAAAGGAAAATATGCTACCCATACTCTTTGTAAACATCCAGGATGTGTTGTGTACATACATATATATACATACATATATATAAATATATATGTGTATATATAGAAATATATAGTGCACCACTAGCTTGTATTGTAGGATATATGAAGGTAATATATTGACAATATATTCAAAGACGCGATTGTGAAGCACTCAAAGTCCCACAAGCCCGCCGCGATAATCACGTGTTGCTGTTGCTGTTGTTGTTATCTTGTCTTTTTTTTCCTCTGACATGGGGATAATTATTCAGCACAATATGAGTATTATAGTTATTATACATGCGTATGTACCTATCAGAGATTAGCGAGCGTTTAGAGGGTGTTTGTGACGGGACTACAAGTTGAAAAGAGTGATCCATTGGCGGCGCATGGTTGGCTAACGACCCACAGCATGAGTTGTTTCTTTTTTAAAGGGATCGGGGTTGTTGTAGGTGATGCATGACGAAACGTTGGAGAATGTATACAAATTAAAAGGGAAGAAACTGGGCTGCCTGTTTTTGTAGTTTTTTGTTTTGGTGGCTGTAAAACGCCTCACAGATTTAAAGAGGTCTTTCTTCTCAGGCTTTTAAGACGCTACAAGGGCGTCGTGACCAGCAGGGAGAGCCATAACACACCTGCTGCACCTGCAGTGGATATGCATGACATCACACTCTCACCCGATAAGAAGGAGGGGGGGCAGGATTCTAGAGGTCCGTGTTGTTCTTTTTTGTGAGACAGGATTTAATATTTAGGCATAGCTTTGTGTTCATATATTTCCTGTGTGTCTTTGCGTTTTGTGCAAAAGCAAGAGATTTCCGGTCGCATTTAAAAAAAGATAATGATTTTTTTTTTTCTTTCTCTATGTCCTCCCATCGTCTTTGTTATCTCAGAGGTATTGCTTTTAAAGGTTTGTGTGGATATTGTTTATAAAACTTTAACATCACATCGCTGTATTTGTTCATAGTGTTTAGTTCATTCAGTTACGACAGATAAAAAAAACTATAGTTCATCAGCTGCTCAGATTGTTTTCTGACAATATGACTTTTAGGTTTTACGCAAACCTCTACCGTTGCTTTTGTTATTCTTTGACCGGAAACTACCTTTTTGTGCAGATTTGAATGATTTGATTTCATACGTGGAGCCTTTCTACGTGTAAAATCAAATCATTCAGTCCAGTCGACCGCAGCACACAATCTTGATCACTACTAAGAGTTTACCCACTTCAATCTGAAATCATTTAATAATTTAATAAAAACGCCACATGCTGTCTACTCTCCACTTTGAGACGGATGGATGTAGCATGAAAGGAAAGCCTCCACCTTGACAAACTCCCGATGCCCCCCCTCCCTCTCTCCTCCGCCTGTTGCCCCCGCTCACCCGCATCAGGGAGCAGCTGCAGCATCTCCATGGCACTGGTTAGCGTGGAAATAGCTGGTTCCCCTGGTGACGGCTCCTGTGATGCTCCAGTGAAAGTCACCCTGTTGTCTTCGGCGGTAAAGCAACTCCGTTAAAGCAGCAGCTCATTGAAAACACTGAAGAGACATGTCTTTTTTTCCATGAACGCCTTGATTCTGAATGTGACGTGTATTAAGCATGAGATTTTATGGCCTGTTTTTCCTTTAGCTTACCGTCAGAGTATTAAATGAAGGGTTGATATTTAATGTGTGTCAACGTGTTTTTTTCTTTTCTTTTTCTTGTCCTTGAGCTCATTGGTCTTTTTTTTTTTTGTTGTTGTTTTTTTCTCAGTGTCAATGAAGGAAATGGCTATTTAACGCTATCGTCTGCTGTTGTTTTAGAGACATGAGCGAGCTCATCACAAACCTTTTTACGAGTGGAGGTGCGATCTGATCCGTCTCAGTGTTTTGTAGACCGGTCATTTAAATGCTGCACACACACGCTGAGCTACGTGTGTCACTGCCTTGTTAAAAACTCACCAAGGGAAATGTTGTCTGTGAGCTTCTCGTTTTGGGAGGCATAGAATGTGAAAATAAAACGTGTTTTGAAAGGTTAACAGTGTCCGAACATCATTGTGTGGAATGTATAAGGGGCACCGTTTGTAAAATGCCGCACGTTCTAAAATCCTGCGCAGTTTTGGTACATTTAGCATTTTTATACGCACGACAATATTCATATGTCACTTTTTCAAACATTTAGAGAGAAATTCAAGTAAATTCAAGCAATAACTGTTTGGCAGTAACAAAGTTGTTAAATAATACAAATGTTAAATGTAAATATAAATGTTAAATATAAATACAAATATAAAATTGTAAATGTTATATCTAAATGGGGTCGTTGTGGGGCAGGGGTAGAGCGGGTGCGCCGGGAACCGCAAGGTTGGATGGTTCGAGCCCCGGCTGCTCCATGTCGAAGTGTCCCTGAGCAAGACACCTAACCCCTAATTGCTTCCCAGCCAAAATGTAAAAAAGCCATGGGTTAAAAATGTAATGTAAGTCGCTTTGGATAAAAGCGTCAGCTAAATGACATGTAATGTAAATGTGAAATATAAATGTTATATCTAGATGTTAAATCTAAATCTAAATGTTAAAGGTAAATGTTAAATGTTCACTCTACATATCAGACTTGACGACTGAACATTACAATACTTACGGTAATTCACGCCACAGCAAAACAAGCTGGCAAGTCCGAATGAAGTAGCTCTTGTTATAGAACAGGGGTGTCAAACTCATTTTTTGGTAGATGGCCACATACACTTTGATGTCAAAGTGGGTGGGCGGAGTTGTGCGATGATCCGTGCCTATGCATCTCCCCCCCTTGCATGACATCAAAGTAGACAGTATGTGACCCCTTACCTAAAATGAGTTTGACACCCCTGCTCTATAACGAAAAAGAGCTACTTCATTCGGACTGATATGTAGAGTGAACATTTAACATTTACATTTAACATTTATATTTGTATTTAACATTTATATTTATATTTAACATTTATATTCACATTTAACATTTATATTATTTAACAACTTTGTTACTGCCAAACATTATCCTTGGAAAAGTTATTGCATGAATTTACTTGAAGTTCTTTCTAAATCTTTCTAAATGTTTGAAAAAGTGATATGAATTATGTCGGGCTTTTCCTTTCATATAATAATGCTAAACGTACCAAAACTGCACAGGATTTTCGAACGTGCGGCATTTTCACCCCATAAGTTTACCTTTGCAATTCAGGGCCCATTTCTGTTAAAAATGACTTGAGGAAAGGAAGTTGGTTTCATTGAACTCTTCCTCCATCACCGATTCATGATTATTCCTCCTAAATGTGATGAATCCAAATACTATAAAAGTATACAAATCTACGACTATGTCCTTTCATTTCCATTTAACATTTTAATCTAACTACACCCCCCATGTTCTTGTATGGGGTATAGGGGTCAGATCAGTCTCAATAATTGCAAATGCGCACAGAACGACTCCCAAATGCAAACCGGAAGATACACAAATGAGCACTATATTTGCACACTGCATTTATTTGCCACACGCTTCACGTTTGTTTGTGGGGTTTTTGAGAGTCGTCTTGCGTCGCAGATCCACAAATGCGTTTTTTCAAGATGGCTCTTGGGGAGAGGGGAGCTGTGATTGGTTGAAATGAAGGCGACATTTAATTGGCTACATCTTGAAAAAAAAACGACGCACAACGACTCTCAAAAAACCCACACACAAACGTGAAGCGATCCGCAAGTAAATGCAGTGTGATCCGCAAATATAAATCGTAATTTATTCATGTGTGTATTTAAATGTATTTGTAAATCCTTTTGTGTGCGTTTGTGAATCAAATACATTTTTGAATTGTTCAGTGCGCATTTGCAATGATTGAGACTGATCTGACCCCATAATATAGGACTACATAAGTGTAAAAATAACGTGTCAAATTATTACAAGAGAAACAAGTATTCCATCCCTGTTCCTTCTCTGTTTTATAATAACTCCCTGGATGGAACACACATGTAAAAACCTCTGCATTAATTATGATACACAGCAGTATGAAAAGTAGTTAGAATGAGTCCCAAGTGTTAATTCAATATCACGTTATTCAGTGAGTGATGCGTGTTAGTTGAGTAAATATACAAGGTGAAAGTGGTTAATAATAGCAAAATGCCACTGCCTTCTAGTATTGATGGCATTACTGAACCTGAAGACATTGCAGAACTATGGAGGAGACACTACGAGAACATTTTTAACTGTGTGAAAAGTGAAGTGTTCAACATAGGAGAGATACCTTACAGTGAAAGTGTAGTCTTCAAGCCGGAGGAAGTATGCTATGCTATTGACAAACTTAAAATGAATAAAGCCTGTGGGCGGGATGGAATAACAGCAGAACATCTGAAATATGCTGGTCAAAGTATCTCAGTTTTACTTGCTTTGTTCGCTGGGTTGATGAAACATGGCATACTTCCTGGGTCCATGTTGTCTGTTTTGCTGGTGCCTGTAGTTAAAAATATGACTGGTAAATTAACTAGTATAGATAACTATAGACCTATTGCTCTTGCTAGTATACTATCCAAGGTACTAGAAGGGATTCTTATGGATAGGATTGTGGAATACATAGCATCAACAGATAATCGGTTTGGTTTTAAGAGCAAGCATGGAACTGATCTGTGTATTTATGCACTTAAAGAAATTGTCCATAGGTATAGATCACGCAATAGCACAGTATTTATGTGTTTACTCGATGCATCAAAGGCTTTTGATCGTATCAATCATGGGAAACTGTTTGGTAAACTCAGAGGTGTCAAGAAACGAAGTACAAATACTTCGTTACTGTACTTAAGTAGAAATTTTGGGTATCTATACTTTACTGGAGTATTTATTTTTCAGACGACTTTTTACTTCTACTCCTTACATTTCACGCAAATATCTGTACTTTCTACTCCTTACATTTTAAAAACAGCCTTGTTACTTCCGGCTTGTTGTCGTTCAACAACACAAACACCAAAAAAACCTATCTAGATAAATGGCGATATCCGGACAGTGAATGTGATTGTTTTTGGATGAGAAGTATTAACATTTAGCATCCAGACACCCGATTGGTTTTCTCCGCAATGCGCCGGCAGATCGAAGCTACACCGGGTGGGAAAAGTGGTCGGTGGAAAGTTGGTATTTAGCGACATGGAGCCTCCTCCTCTTCCTCCTCCTCTTCCTCACGCAGAGTCCATGTAACGTTAGATGAGTATCTTCGTGACCGTGGGTTTGTCCTAAATGTTTGATTGAGAGTCTGGCACAACACAGCGACTTGCAAGCAGCGTATTAAATAAAGTGATGTGTGTCTTAATGCGGCTTTGGAAATGAACTCAAAGGGATTCTGTATTTGCTCATAAAGCCTGAAAATACTGGTTAACCAATTGCTTTGTTGAAAAGTGTGATTAGTTGTACACTGTTTCACTAAACAGATTATGTGTTCATTGCTGGATTACATGTTGCTCTCATAGGCAATTATTTGGATTACTGTAAAAGTATCTCCATCCCAGGCCTGCAGTGCAAAGAGTACTATGATTTGTAATGCTCACCGCATTGTTTGATCTATGTTTAGTGATGTTTTATAGCCATGAGTACGTGATGTTAACTCTTCTGCAGGCAAAAAAAGGCTGCATAATGAACATGCCAACTAGCAAATTCTGATAAGATATGTTGAGCTTTGCATCCTGACTGCACCTGAAGCCAAGAAGTAAGAAAATAAAGAGCTGCAGCTGTAATTAAACAAAGAGAAAAAGCCAGGCAAACAATCGTGGACCGACTGAATGCGAAAGGATTTAAAAATATGTACTTGCTAGGAAAGTTGTAGACTGTTTTATTGGCTTTTAATATGATTTTTCTACGTGTTGGTTTTATATCTGTGTTTATGTGCTAAATGTGCTGGCTTTACTGTAAAGTGTCTTTGAGTAGCCTACCATGTAAAGCACTATATAAATACAATATAGTATTATTATTTATCCTACTTTGCCTTAAAAGTGAGCAGAGGGAATTCATCTTCCTGTGTCTGATTCTAAATATCTTTCTACAACTAAGGTTCATACAGAACAAACAAGACTGGAACAGGCTAAGATAAAATATAAAAACATTTGGCCAGTTGATAAGTGCTCAGTTTGCAAATGGTGTAGAAATAACTTATAATAACATATTTTATCTAAACTGATTTAAGCAGTTAAGAGGGCTCATTTGTCTGGCGGGGGGCACGAGCACCAGGCTTCACCCCAGCTGAGGAAAGGGCAGGCCTGTGATGGAAAGGATCCAGGGTGGGACAGCTACTGACTGTGTTCCACCTGCAGAACCTGCCCTCTTCATACATGCTACATTCTCCAGTACATTGTCGGGATCTCCGATCCCTCCGAGTTGGTTGGTTGAGAAGGATCACAACACGTTGATCAATTAAAGTAAAAAAGTTAACATTTATTTAGAAGAGAAAAAGATTACATGAGCAACTCTCCGCAGTTATCTGGCTCTAACTATTGCTTGCAAGCAGGAGGTCGAACACACAAGCACGTATTTCAGCGTTCGGTGTAAATGGCGTTTCCGAGCAGTAAAAACAAGTTTTTATACACATGTGAAGACTATCCTCAGTGCCAGGTACGAGAAGCAAATACGATATGAACCAAGGCCATGAACAGAAGTCCCTTGTATCGAAGCGTCTATGAGATCGAGCTTGAGGCCTTCTCAGGACACAGCTGCAAACTAACATTTTGTATCATGCTGCTCTTTGCACGTCAGGGTCAAATACGGACACTTGAGACCCGGGTTTAGCACAAGACAATGTTTTAACATATTTTACCATTACATGCATCTCACAACATCAAACACAATCACCCATTTACACAGAATATGTGGACTGTCTTGTGGAAATCTTCTTTGATGTGACACATTCTTCTGGGGCCAGGGAAGGTAATAAAGATGTGTGCCAAGGACTTCAGTGCCAAACACACACTTCTGACAGTACGGCAAATAGTGCCTTTATTTACAGGTTCGGCATATAAAGACACGCTGCTTGCAAAAAAGTGCCGTGCCATACGGAGCATGTGTGGGATGGTGAGATGGCTTCACGCTGGTCTGATCTGTCCAAAACATCCTCTCGTGTCTGAAAGCACGTCTCAATATCAGTGCTTCTTCATCCAAAACGTGGTTCAGAAATGGGCATCACGGTGCAGGAAGAAACACAGGTGAATGGGACTTTATATATCGGCCTCATCATGTTTACAATTTCTGAGGGTAAGATAAGGTCTGAGGGTTTCAGACCTTATCAGGGAGAACGATGGTTTATCTCTGAAGCTCACAGAGACCACAAAAGAACTTTCTGTCAAAAGTGCTGAACTCACGGCCAACAACGAGACCTGGCAGCAGAAATATGAAGATCTGGAGAAAAGGACAACCAAGGAACTGGATGACCAACATCAGTCATTGGAGTCTAAAGTAACAGGGTTACTCTCCACCAACATTTCTCTTCAAGAGAAGCTGCACAAGCAGCAGGCCAACAACCAACAGTTGGAAGCAGAACACAAACTGCTAAAGATCAAGACAGAGGCTCTGGATGAGACTATCAGGGAGAACGAGGGTTTATCTCTATCACTTTCTGTCAAAAGTGCTGAACTCACGGTCAACAACGAGACCTGGCAGCAGTTGGAAGCAGAACACAAACTGCTGAAGACCCAGAGGGATTCTCTGGCTGCTTTAACAAAGAGCCAAGAGGATACCCACCACGAGACGGTCACAATCAGTGGTTTCACTGAGTTGTGCCTGATCTCTAAGATCCAACAAATGGAGGATACCATCTCCAAAGAACATCAGATCCTTATCACCAGGATCCAAGAATTAGAGGATGACAAAACAGTCCTTGAAAACATCTGCCCCGACTTAAAAAAAAAAAAAAGAGGCATCTTTGGGAGACGTATGCAAGACCGGCAGACGGAGATGGACAAAATGAGGCGCAAGATGCAGGACAAGGAGACAAAGAAATAGGAGAGAAAAGAGAAGAAAATGGAGACCATCCAGGACGTCAACATCAACGTGCCTGAGACTGGACACCTGTAAGAACACCTTCCTTCACCTCCCACTCCATCCCACCTCATCCATCTAACCTCGCTCCCCTTCCACCCGCGCTTCACAGCGATGAACCCCCCCCAGGCATGGACCGCCTCCTCATTCATTGGTAAATATCATTGCCATTGTATATTTTATTCCCTGTGCTCCAGGAAGTGTTTTTTTCCAACTTCATCGACAGGACAGTAGCACGGCACGGCCTCTGAGGAATGAGGAATCTTTTTCATCTCATCCATTTCCTTCTTTGGTTAATGCAAGGCTGCAGATGAAGCTGAGGGGATTTCTGTATCTGCGCATATACCCTGAACCTGGCCATTTGGCCGGTGTTTGGATGAACTACCACGGCTGGGTTGACGAATCAACAGTGATAACTTGTGAAGGTAGGCCGATAGTTTCATTCGTCTGTCGTTGGAAATTGGGATCTCTGTTTGATTTTTCAAGTTATGCATTAGGCAAGGTAGACACACATGTCCCCCTCCATAGTTTCAATGATGCCATGCCAATATTACAGTGATGCCATGCCAATATATATATATAACATATTATCATACTTCATATTTGTAATATCATAGATAATAACAAGATAATATAGTATCATATAGCATTATGTAGGACTAATATAAGAAACATAGTATTATACTTCATATTTATAATATCATAGAAGATTATATAGGACTAATCTCATATAACATAATATAGGACTAATATAACAAACATGGCATCATACTTAGTATTTCTAATATTATATAACTTAATATCATATACAGTGTTTTCACTTATTATATCCCCCGGCGCGTCCCAACACCCACGCCCCCCTCTGGTACGTCCGCCCCCCCAAAGTTGGAAACATAGGGGAAACACTGATATGACATAATATAGTAGAACTAATATAGGAGACATGGCTTTATACTTTATTTTTCCAATATGATAGAACATAATATCGTAGAACTAATATCATAAAATAGCATCGTATTCCATATTTCTAATATAATTAAACTTAATACCGTAGAACTAAAATAAAATAGCATCGTATTCCATATTTCTAATATAATTTAACTTAATATCGTAGAACTAATATCATAAAATAGCATCGTATTCCATATTTCTAATATAATTTAACTTAATATCGTAGAACTAAAATAAAATAGCATCGTATTCCATATTTCTAATATCATTTAACTTAATATCATTTATTTTTTTATTTTAAAAAGTTACATTTTATTAAATTTTTTTGTTTTAAAAAGTTTTATTTTATTTATTTTCCTCCATTGAAAAAAAAAAAAAAAAAAAACCCTCCATTTCCCCCTGTGGGTTTTCCCTCCATCTATGGGTTTCCCACGTAAAAAAAAAAAATCTCCGCGAATCGCCACCTTAACATGGTGGAGGAGTTTGAGTGGCTCAGTGATCCTGTGATCTGTGTTGTCTGTGGCACAAGCACCTTGTCCGATGGACAACAGGTCTCAGGGGAGAGTCCAGACTAAGAGCGATTCAAAAACCCTAATGTTTAATCAAACAATAAACATGTTATGATTGCATTTTTAACGAGAAATCAATGTTAACTTGTAAGAATACAATACTAACCCTAACCCCCTCAAAAAATCCAACATGGCGGAGAGACATTCACTCAAGAATCCGACATGGTCCGCCATGTTGTTCACTCAAGGGGCGTGGTTAACCACCGCCAGTTCGTATGTATTGTTACGAATTTGTATGTTCAAGATTTTCGTATACATTTTTACGAACAGGTTTTGGAGATCACGTTGGGGGAAGACACTGCAGTCTACCTAATCGATGCGAACAACGTGTGTGTGTGTGTGTGTGTGTGTGACTCGTGTCACTGGAAAATGGGTTGTGGTTTTATCTGTTTAAGTCAGATACACGTGTTGTTGTCGTGTCTCTGAATGTCGCCATGTTTCCACCATCCCAACGGCAGGCCACGAGATCTGCAGACACCTTCTGATCACATTGTAACGGACTGACGTGTTGTGTGAGCGAGGTTACGCGTTAAGAGTTTGTCCTTAATGGAATTTCTTAATTACTTTTATACTTTAAGTAGTTTTGAAACCAGTACTTTTATACTTTTACTTAAGTAAAAAGCTTGAGTTGGTACATAAACGTCTACGGGAGTCTTTTTAAACTCTAGTATCTGTACTTCTATTGAGTAATGAATGTGAATACTTTTGACACCTCTGGGTAAACTACATGAGCGTGGGGTTCCCGTTTACATTATTAGGATACTGCAGTTCTGGTACTCTCACCAAACTATGCAAGTCAGGTGGGGGATGAGTTTGTCGACCCCGTTCTATGTATCCAATGGTGTGCGGCAGGGCGGGATTCTGTCTCCGCTCCTATTCAATCTGTACATGGATGATTTATCTAGGGAGCTAAAGGGCTGTAGAACTGGCTGCTTGGTGGGGGATAGTCTACTTAATCATATGCTTTATGCTGATGATTTGGTGGTACTGTCTCCCTCCAGTGCTGGCCTACAGCAACTTCTTAGAATATGCTCTCAATATGGACTAATGTTTGACATAAAATTTAACTCTATGAAGAGTGTCGTAGTGATTGCCAGAACCAAGGAGGAAATGAAGTGTGTCTATCCTTCTTTCTCATTGGCAGGTGAACCACTAGAAGTTGTAAAGAAAGTTAAATATCTAGGACATGTGATCAGAGATAACCTGTGTGATGATGATGATGATGATGTGCAGCGTCAGTGTGGAAAATTGTATGGGCAGGCGAACATGCTGGCACGCAAATTTCACATGTGCACTTCTGATGTTAAAATCGCACTTTTCAGAACCTATTGCACCCCACTGTATACTGCCCACCTGTGGTGTAATTTTAGTAAGTCGAAGATGAAAAAGCTTCAAGTGTCTTATAATGATGCACTGAGAATTGTGCTTAAAGTCCCTAGGTGGAAAAGTGCCAGTGAAATGTTTGTGTCCAATAAAGTGCCCACTTTTAAAGCTGTTTTAAGAAATGTTATGCATAGATTCATGTGCAGATTGACAGGGTCTTAGAATATGATTGTTGTGTCCTTAGTGGATGTCTCCAAGAGTGACACAAGGTATACATCTTGCTTCTGGAAACATTGGACCCGAAGCCTGTATAAGTTTTTATGAATGATGCCTCGTCTGCATCATTCTTAAATGTTGTTTGTATGTTGTTTTTATGTGTATGTATTCTCTTTGGACCTCTGTGTCTAGAATAAAGTTGATTGATTGATACACAGTTAGAGGGTGTAATGTGATCAAATGCAAAATATAAATATATATACGAATATATATGTGTAACTATATGTTCAACAACAATTTCAGTATGAACGTAGCGGCGTTTGTGTCCTTGAAGGCGGCACCCGTTGGGTTTCTGGAAATCACAGCCGGGTACTTTGGTGACGTCAAGACGGAAAGTACACATTCTCACGGTCCCAAATGCGTTGAACCAAAAAGAAAACAAACGCAGTCACACCGAGTAAAACGGCTCATGACATTCACATAGAAACAAAAAGTAAGTTTCACCATTGGCTTTGGCGACGGGGGCGTCCGCTCAAACGTCCACGGACGGGCTTCGAAGCCTTTAATGCTAGCCATCGGGCGCCGTCTATTTCCTGGAATGCGGTGGTCCTTGTTAAACTGTTGACGTAGCTAGCACGTTAGCTGCCTGTGTGACAGTTGGCCTATTTAGCCAACCATAATTATTAAATGGTGTGGGATTTCAAGCGTTTCAACACGTTATTTTGACATCGGTGTTGTTAAAATATCAGCGCAAGCGGACATTAGCTCGGCAGGTGTTCCAGGATTTAACTTAACGTGAGTCATTTTGGTTTTACTTTGCTAGCAAGGCAGGAATTCTAACACCTCAACCACTTTGATCCTTTTCAATGACGTAAGAGGACTCTGTCATGTAAACTTTATTTCTACGCTCCAGTTCGGCTTCACAACGATGGAGAAACCTCCCTTCAGGCAGAACCAGAACTGCGGGGACTGGGAGCTGAAGGAGAGGTTGGGGATGGGCGGATTTGGCCATGTTTACCTTTACCAGCATCACGTAAGTACATCCTAATGGCACTGCAGGGGACACTAACATGTACTACTAACCTACTTCACATCCTACGTAGCTCCTTCAGTATTGTGACGTTTGATGTGCATGTTTTGTGTTACTCATTCAATCAGGGACACAACAGAATGTATCTTTGATTTGCAGAAAACGAATGAAAAACTAGCTGTGAAGATGTGCCGTCTGGAGTTGACACCAAGGAACAAGGACAGATGGAGCAGAGAAATCCAGATCATGAAAAAGTTAGACTTCCTTTTTTAATCTCCTTGTAGCGAACAGTTCATTGCCACCTTGATTCAAAGGCGTTACATAGTGATGTTCTGGTATCATAATGACAGTACTTTATCACAATTATTATGATTATATAACGGAAGCTGCAGATCATCCGTCTCTGACGGTGGGAAAGCTGGACGGAGGTCATTAAATAGTAATGGCAGTGCTGACTCCTCCTGCTGTCTCACTCAGGTTGAATCACATCAATGTCGTGTCGGCCCAAGACGTCCCGGAGGAAATGAGGCACATCGCTTTAAATGATCTTCCGCTCTTGGCCATGGAGTACTGCTCCAGGGGAGACCTGAGGAAGGTGAGGGACTCATGGAAAGGAAGCTTGGAATACGGCCACGTCGTACTCTAGCAGGGGGGCGGCCCAACGGCTACATTTAAAAACACCTTTTTCCCAAAGCGGTATAAAAACGCCTTAAAGTGTATCTTACTCACAAGTGGATGAATCTAAAACCACCCGACTCATCTCGGCGCCGATGGGTCGGGCTTATGTGATATATTGTCTTCAGTACACCTTAACTTCAAATTCAAATATGAGGAATACATAATTCACTTCCTGCAGATAGGAAGCCCCACGTCAACCAACACGTTTGACCTGCAAGACACAAGATTGAGTGACGTCTTTCATCATAAAAAATATGTCACAGCAGGCGTCCTTGCTGGCAGTAGTTATAAATCATCATGGAGCGTCACTCCCGTCGGACAGCAGGTAGTAGGTTGCACCAGCGATTTTCGGTGAAACATCCCGACGTCGGCATGAGACATGCTTCTCCCTGTGTGTGTCGCCACTCTCTGCGCCCATTCATGACTTCATGACGAGACCCTGTTTTAAAGTTTTCGGCCTGCCATGCTGTTGCTCCCGTGCACAATGACTCGGCAACAAAAATAGAAAAAACTATATAAATTGGGAGTTTGGATGAATTAAAGGTTGTACGCCTTCTTTGTCTTGGACGCTGAGCACAGATTAGACGGGCAGAGGTTGAAGTTGAAGTGCGCTGTATGTCGTACACACAATCATCGCATGCTGTAGGAGGCTCCTTTTGTCTGACACGTAATGTAGACTTACTTCAGATGTGACAGAAGTCCATTTGTGTGGCTTACAGATTCTGAGCAAACCTGAGAACTGCTGTGGATTGAAAGAGAGTGAAGTGCTTTCGTTACTCAATGATGTTGGTATGTCTCCTTTTTTCCACTCGGAAGTGTCGTTTTTTTATTTTAAAGCCGCAACTTTCATTTAAAAGCTTGTTCTCTGCTCCAGGATCTGGTATCCAGTATCTTCACGAAAACAAGATCATACACAGAGACCTTAAACCAGAAAACATAGTGCTACAAGATATCAACGGAAAGGTGAGCTGACACTTCAGGGCTTTGTTCTGTTTGACTTCCCGACCTAAAAGAAACTGTCTGAAAGTTCCCTTTTCTTCTCCTGCAGCTGGTTCACAAAATCATTGACTTGGGCTATGCTAAAGACCTGGACCAGGACAGTCTGTGTACCTCCTTCGTTGGCACGCTTCAGTACCTGGTAAGCCGACTAGGGGTTCTGTCTCCATGTGTATTCATTCATATATGGCTGTATGACACATATGAGGCATCCTGTGTTCCCCCACATGCCAATAGAAGGCCAGATAACACCGTAGCATTGCATCCTTTTGTCTCTGCAGGCCCCTGAGCTGTTTGAGAACCACCCGTACACCGTCACCGTGGACTACTGGAGCTTTGGCACGATGATGTTTGAATGCATTTGTGGTTTCCGTCCGTTCTTGCACAACCTTCAGCCTGTGCAGTGGTGAGTTGGCCCGAGAAGCAAAACATTGGGACGTGTACATCTGGCACAGGAGGGGCTTATTTTACCCGATGAATGATAAGGCTTTGGAGACTAATGTTGGCTGGTAAAAGAAAAGAAAAGTCACCTTGATTCACTTTGCCGGTGGAGTGAGGCAAAGATACGGAGACGGCTGTGTGCGGGTTCTAATCTGTTGTTGTTTGCTCACCAGCACGGTCAGCTCGGTGTGACACATGTGATTGCTTTAAAATGCGTAGAACAAAATAAGATCTCTGTTACATTAACGACTAAAGTGTTTTCTCGAACATGTCACATCCTTTTCTGGACGATCCTGTTGATGAAGAAGCGGTTTTACTTCGCAGGGTGTGAAACACGTCAGGAGAGAATATTGAGGCCCCAATGAGATATATTGTCATTTCCAGATGACTACTTGTTTGAACGGTATCGTTTTTCGTCACAGTCCATCAAATATGTACATGACCTCACCCGTCCTCATATAACTAAGGTCCCCCATCGTAGACATGCTCTCACATACGAGCACATTCTTTGTGTAGTATTACTTCTCTTTGCAAACAGCATTTTCCTTTACAACATTAGAATATTAGTAAAGCTGCTGTATGCAGAGCCGTGAGAAACGTGTGCGTTCCTCTGAAACGTCTTTTAAACGCTTTTGTTCCCTGGACACAAACCAGTGAAGCCATTAGAGAGGAGTTCCACAGGAGCCCCTGAATAAAATACATTATAGGTTCAACACTATTGTACCATTTTTTTTTTTTACCAGCGATATTGTTCTTGTGATTAAATACGAGCATGGGTGTGTATTTCAAGCCTGTGTCTGTCTCAAACAGACACCACACCACGTGTTACTTTTCTTTCTAATTACGTGTTCATACTCTCTTGCATTAATAGTTCCAGCTCAATAGGGGTAAATATATATTGTTTGTGGTGGTTGCCATGGTAAATCTTAGTATAATGGCTCCATTCATGATGCCTTCATACTGTGATGGTGCACACGCTCAACTCTGAGTCAACCTACTCCGTGTTGAGTGAACCAAGTCTAAACAGTTGTTCTGAAACCCCAAACTTTCCCATCTCAGGGTGAATCAACTCAGAGTTTAGGGTTTGACTCAGAGTTTGTTAAACCTCTTACTTGAAACGGACCCCTGATCATTCATGAAAACATGCAGTGTTATTAGAAATCTCAAATCCATATGATGGAAGTTGCTCATTCACAAAGCAAGTCAAAAATAAGCTCTCCAGCTTCTCCCTGTGTTCAGTGTCTGCTGCAAACTGAGTGCTCCTGCACTTGCTTGCTTGTGCTTTGAAATAGAAGATAAACGGCAAAGGATTAGAGACGGAACTGCAACCCTTGTCTTTGTCTCGTGTCTCACAGGGCCACTAAAGTGAAGAATAAAGGTCCCCGAGACATCACGGCTGTGGAGGAACCGAACGGAGAAGTGACGTTCTCCACACATCTCCCCTACCCCAACAATCTCAGCAGGTTAGGACCCGCTTTGGGGGGGAGGGCATTTTTGTTCTACATTAGTCACTCAAATGGAAGGAAATGTCGCTGCGTGTTGCAGACACTGGGACAGAGTTTGGTACCAATGTCTCTCCCTGTGTTTGAACCGCTGTCCTTCAGTACCATGTTGGGTCCCATCGAGAAACTGCTGCAGCTGATGTTAAGATGGGACCCCTTCCACAGAGGGGGTCCAGTCAACCGGGAAACCAAGAGGCCGTCTTGCTTTGAGCAGCTGGAGCTGATACTGAGTATGAAGGTGAGGCTTTTAGAGCGTTTGATCGGTTCTATCTGGGTCAATGATGAAACAGAGTTACGGGTTCTTTAAATGGTGCGAGGTGAGACCTCCTGTGCTTTACTCTGACGCACACAAGACCAACCAGAAGAACATTAATCTGCAGAAATGATACATTCTCTATCTGATGCTCTTTATATTAATAGATATTCTAATTTATATGTGGTGTGTTGAAAAATAATGAGTAAAATATTTGTGTTGAATGAAAGCACCGGAGTATTTTTTAATGTGTATTTTATGGTGCAGTAGATGCTGCTACACCACCATGTTAATACAGATGTGTCCTCTAGCACCTCTGTCAAAATGCTGTTTTTTTAAAAGGCAATCCAACAGATTTGAAGCAACATGTTTTATCAGATATGCTGCGATTTTTGAAAATGATGTAAATTGATCTTTTAGGCATTTAGACATTGGACAGACAGCACTCACAGTTATTGGAAATGTTTGGATCACACAAGTCTGAAACAATCCTACAGCATAATGCTAATAATATTAAAGCTCTAAATCAGCTTAATACATAATATATGCAAAATATACTTAAAGAGGCTTTTAACTTTCCGGTACCTTCCTGTGGACTTCTCTGCTTCATTTGATCTGTTCTAAGGCGAAGAGTTAAATCAAGGTGTCTTGTCTTGATGTAGGTCGTCCACATCCTGAACATGACCACGGCTCAGGTCCACTCCTTCCAGCTGGATCCGGAGGAGAGTCTGCACAGTTTACAGAAGCGCATCGAAGCCGAGACCAGGATCGAGGTGGTGAACCAGGAGCTGCTGCAGGAGACGGGGGTGTCGCTGGACCCCCGGAAGCCCGCTGCGCAGTGTGTCCTCGACGGAGTGGTGAGAAGGCTTTCCATGCAGCCCCGGCTCCTCTCAAGCTGTATTTATATTAGGGCACATCTCCGGAGCACAAATGTTCTGACCGCGTTGGAGTTAAAACCTTCATCAGGTGGTGTCCTCGTGGTTTTAAGGTCGAAGACACCAACTATGAGCTGCGAACGTCCTCAAAAGGAGTGCTGTCACATATCTCTTGTCCCTTCATTTCCGCACTGCTTCATAGTGCTAAATGAAGCTTTTTTTAATGTTGGTCCCTCCCATTGGAACCTTTAATAAAGATGATACTATACTATAAACAGAGCTGCGACTGCCTTCAGCGCGGCAGAGACACACTCCGGGGATTAAGGTGTAAGTGGTGCTGTTCTTCTCCCCCCGTGCAGAGAGGCTGGGACAGCTACATCGTCTACCTGTTTGATAAGAGCATCAACAAGTACTCCGGACCCCTCAGTGCCAGAAAGCTGCCCGATAAAGTCAACATGATTGGTGGGTCACATGAAGCCTAATGCATTTATTTCACAAATCACAGGTTACACTTCTCTCCACAGATGGTATTATGGAATGAAATGTGGTGTTAGCTGTTATTGACACCTTTAACTTTACCTTAAGAAGTGGCAGAATATTGTTTCCTGCTCCGCTGTGCCGCCGTGTTGTGCAACTGATTCTGCTGCTTACTTTTCAGTGCAAGAGGCCAAGACGGAGCTGCCCCTGGTGGCGCTGAAGATGGTTTGGGGTGAAGCCGTGAGCTACATCTGTGGACTGAAGGACGACTACAGCCGTCTTTTCCAAGGACAGAGGGCCGCTATGTGAGTGTGTTATCGCTTCTTCATGTTTGTACATCGGAAACACACACCGAAAGAAATCCACAGATTTATTGACAACAGTAATAATTATCAGATCCATTCGTACTCTATTTGAGAATGTAATCACGTTGGAGGTGGAACAGACTGTCGTGGATTTGTGGCCACTTCTCACTTGCGTCGCCTGCTGTTACTTTGGAATCTGCTGGATGAGGCAACCAGACACACCAGAGGGACTGAACATGAGCCTCTGTCGTTAATCGTGCCCCCCCCCCCCACCCCCCTTTCAGGGTAAGTCTCCCGCGCTACAACACCAACCTGAACAGGTGTAAGAACAGCATGTTCGGCTTCTCTCAGCAGCTGAAGGCCAAGCTGGACTTCTTTAAGAGCAGCCTCCCGTACGACCTGGAGAAGTACAGCGATCAGATGCACTACGGCATATGTGAGTGAACGTTTGACCCTCTGCTGGTGATTAACACATATTTTAATACAATATTTAATACAGCGCCGAGCCAGACGTTGCTTTTACATGACTTGTGTTTGTTGGTTTAAAGCCTCTGAGAAGATGCTGAAAGCCTGGCAGGAGAATGAAGAGCGAGCTGCTGCTTTCGCACAGGTAATGCATGTTGTTGGTTTTTTATAATTCAAAAGATCTGTAATGTTTCTCAGTGTGAAAGTCTGATGGCGGCGCGATTCCCGGTTTGTCCTGCAGGTGGCAGAGGTGAGCCACCTGGATGATGAGATCATGGCTCTGCACTCTGAGATAGTGGAGCTTCAGAGGAGCCCCTACGCCCGACGCCAAGGAGACAAGATGGAGCAGCTGTGAGTGTTAATGTGGTCTGTTTTTCATGTGGGATAAAACTCTTTGTGCTGTTGTAAGACTGATTTGTTTTATCACAGAGAAGAAAAGGCGATTGAACTCTACAAGCAAATGAAGATGAAATGCAAAAGTAAGAAACGTCTTCATCTGATGTATTGTCATTTACATACCTGCAAACTTTTGCCATTTTGGAATCGAAATAGGTCATCCACGTGAATCGTGTAGATCCAAAGAGGGTTTATTTTGGGGTGGGGCGGCGTTTCTGAGAGTGGAGTGAGAGAAAGGAGAACAGATTTGTGTCCAAGTGTCTTGGCCAATCAGCTTTGAGAGACCTGCAGCGTCCTCATTTCCACTTTTCACAGATTGTGATTCAGATTATTATTACCTGTTTTAGCGCAATCTATGATTTTAATCAGGTCAGTTTAGCATTTCAGAATAATCAAAAGACCGTAGCTATAAAAGCTTTAAGGTTTAGCTTTTATAGCTATTATATATATATATATATATATATATATATATATATATATATACTGTATAAATAAATACAGCCCATTACCTGCCCTGGATGTGGTCTGGTGGCCCAAAATGGTTTGACTCAATGTGAAGTTTGTTTATGAAGAATTAAATTAGTATGATAGACTATTAGTAGATTCAAAAACCCCCGGGGGCATGTCGTGGCGCGCACTATGAGTTTGTAGGTATGCATTTAAAAGCTTATGAAAGTAATTCAATGTCTCTTGTTCCTCAGCTGGCAAAAAACAGAAATGGAATGAATCCCTTTGTTGGAGTTATAATCTCTGTTGAGCAGCTAATGTGATTCCCTCTCAGCACCGGAGCCGGATGTGAGCAGTGACAGCTCTCAGATGGTGATGGCCATCATCCAGACGGTCCAGAACCAGGACAAGGTCCTCAAAGACCTGTACACGCACCTGAGGTGAGAGACCCCCCCCCAGCGAGAACCACCGCTCTGCCGTTAGTATCACAGAGCCCCGACACAAGTCCATTCTGCTCCTCGCCCCAACAGCAAGATCCTGATCAGCAAGCAGAAGATCATCGATCTGTTCCCGCGCATCGAGAAGACCTTGGAGAGCATCAAGGACGCCGACAACACTGTGATGCAGATGCAGATCAAGAGACAGAGAGAGTTCTGGCACCTGCTGAAGATCGCCTGCGTGAGTCCCTCCGCGGACTTTATTTCTTCAGTCGTGTGGGGGGGGCGGGCTCCTGATCACACTAATGTACTCTGGGTAAATCAAATCAGGCTGAAAATAGTTCATATTTTCATCATGGGCTTCCCTGCAAATCTTTCTCTCGATCAGCTGATCATTGTTAGGTCCACAAAAACATCATGAAATATTAAACCAAATGTCTAGTTTTTAGAGACAAATATGGGTCTTCACTTTGTTTTTGTCGAATTTTTAAGGTTGATCTTATCAACAAATGAAACCCGGACATCCTCCCAATGGAAGAGCTAGAAGTTCCTTTGAATACAATTATTAAATATAAAATGGTAGTTTCTGTCAATCCCTCATTGTTTCAGCTCCAAAGTGTTTCTTTGTACTCTGTGAATGAGAACAAACATGAGCAGCAGGAGGAGGCGGAGCCTCGTTTCCTGTCCTTGTGATGTTTGTTGTCTATGGATCTTGTCCATGGACACGTTTCATTACCGTCTCTCCCTCTCTGCCCTCCCCCACAACTCCCCCCTGCAGGCTCAGAACTTGACACGCAACTCGATAGCAGCGAGTCCCGAATCCTCCAACCTGCTGCAGGTGTCTCAGTGGTCCCAGTCGGCTCAGCCGGTCAGCTCCCCGCACCCCCTCACCTCCCTGCCTGGACCGAACGACAGGTAACTCCTCCATCAGGTAGTTCAGGTAAACCACGGTTACACGGCTGACCTGAATGAACCTCGTACGACTCGTGGTTTCTCTGTGTCGATCCTGTTAAGCCCTTTTCCTGTTTAAACAAACTAACGTCAGTAATCTTTAGGAAGTAATGGCTGCCTTTGGCCACCTGGGGGCAGCAGAGGCCAGCTGTAAACATAGCAAAGCAGTTTGAACGTTTTTCTCCTCGTGGTCTTGATCTTCCCTTGGATTGGATTTCACCAGCTGGTCTTTAACTGATTGCTGGTCCGTTATGCTGACAGCAGTAACCTGATAGAAGCAGCAACAGGAGAGAGCCAATCAGGAGGAGGGATCGTGTCCGTTATGTTGGATGTTCACGTGACGCGATTTGTACTTTAAATCGCAAACACCTCTTCTGCTCATCGCCGTTAATCACATCCGTTCATGTAACGTCCCATATGGTTAAATCCTCAATGTTTCATGAATATTATGACCTTTTGACCTTTTTACAACCCGGACTAAACTGTTGCGACCTCTGGATGCCCTATTATACATTTTTGTTTTGTAGGTCAGTGAAATACTGCACCCATTGTACATGTGATGGAGGTCTCATGTGACTGTGTGTGTGTGTCCTTTTAGTGACGCCGCACCACGTCTGCTGCAGGAGAACGAGAGGTACCTCTGTCAGCTGACCAGCCTGATGCAAGAAGCCACTGACGAACAGACCAAAAGCATCGTGGTGAGTTCACTGATGTCAAAATGTTTGCACATTATTACAAGTTTGAGTTTAGTTTTTTGTGATAAATAGATATTCAAATGAGTTGTGTTGGTTAATGAGGCCCGTATTGTAAGTTATCATTAATTAACAGGTCGAGATCACAGGACAGGTTTTCTAAATGTTTACGATTGGTTCAGTGTTCTTGACAAAAATATACATACAGGGGTTGTATAAAGTTTTATATATATATATATATATATATATCTCTTAAAAATCCTGCTAAAAGGGAAAAGCAGCAGTTTATGCACAAAACCCTCTTGAAACCAACCCAGCTTTCCGAAATATACACGTTGCATCGCATTCCTGGTGTTTGCGTCCTTCTTTTAAAGCATTTGGTTTTTTTTGTAATTGTTTTAAGAGATATTTCTGTTTTTTAACACCTGGTGGTTTTGCCCCTGAAGGAGCAGGACTGGAGCTGGACCAAATACGAAACCCTCACGACCAAGTTAAAGAAGAGAAATCCATGAGTAACACTATCACTGAGAGCCCCTGCCAACAACGCCACTGGAGGCGGAGCTTACGCCGTCGCCGCTCCGCTCTCATCGCCTCACCTCGGGGAGGGTCTGAGGAATATCCTTGTTTTCATTTTGCTGCACAACATAGAGCATAAAAGTTCATAATATCTGAGGATATTCGTTATTACTGTAAATGCAAAAAAAAAGAGCAGACTGTAGCACCGGATGTGAGGGTTTGAGGTGGAGACACACAGACATGGAAACGAGTTCTCCCGTGTGACGTAAGCGGAAAACACAGGAAGTGACCGGGAGGGAGGGGGGGGGGGCGGCAAACAGCACTTTGATACTCCCACGTATCCTGTTTTTATCGCTCATAATCCTTTTGAAATATTTCACGTTACCCAGACTGAGGTTTTGATTCTATTCCGATCTGTTTATTATAAAGCGTTGTGTGTCGTAGGGGGAGGAGTCTCATGTCGTGGTATCAGTGACATCACTTTATACAACAGTCCAAAGTTCTGTCCACCGAGCGGCTTCGCGCTGCGCTCGTGTCACAAAAGGTGCAGACTTCCTCCTTCTGTTCATAAACATGTTTACAGAGCGTCGCTTTGACTTCGGGGAGAAAGAGAGCTCCTGTCAGGCGACGTCGGACCACCACAGAAGAAGAAGAAGCGGCCGGTAAAAGAGCGAAAGAAAATGTACAGCAAAAAAAAAAATGTAAAATCGGCCCAGAGAACCAGAGACGAGCTGAATCATTTTAAATTATCCAACAGTCTCAGACCCAAAGATACAAAAATTAAAATGATACCAAACCTGGAATGAATTACATTTGAGCTTTTTCGTTTTAATAAGTAAAATAACTCGTAACTTACTCTTCATTCCTTTTAATCATCTATCTATGACATGAACGTGGCATCGCATGTGACAATCGAATGTGTCCATTGGTTCACAGTAAAGTCAATGGATATCAGCTGGTGAGCGAACCGAGGGGTCACAGTTGTATTTATTAAGTGCAATGGGAAAGGTTTGTTGTTCTTTTTTGTATTTAAATAACTCGATTTGTGGGGTTCTCTTTGCAGTTTGTTTCCATCTCATGGTTTAACTTTGTCAATGTTTAATTTTTAAGATATCACAGTGGAGATCAAATGTTTGCCTGGTAATAAAATAAAATGACTTTGGCATGACTCTGCTTACTCATTCATTCTTTAATGAAATGTATTAACACGTTATAAATGCGTTAACGTAGCGATCCATTAACTCTGACAATGATGTGATTGTGCCTGAACATTCACACGCAGGAAAGCACACTTTCACCAGCGAACAAAGCTTTTCTTTGAGATGACTGATAAGTTCCAGGGTACTTTCTCTTGTGTTAGAGCGCCTTACCTCGCTCTAACAGGGACCCTTACTGCTGAACATATGCTGCATTATGCTGTTCCTGGATAAAATGTTTCTTTTAAAAACCGATTAATATACATTGTGTTAACTTGCTGTTGCTCTTGGAGTGCCTGTTATATTGGTAAAATGTAAAAAAATGTTTTAATTCTTTACTGAATTTTTCGCATAATGTGACTAATTGCTGTTAATCACAGAACAATCATCCGATTAATCGAGTTACATTTTTTCATCTTTGCTCAACAGGTTTTTGTGTCTAGTTTACGTTCGAAGTATTTCAATCTTTTTTGACATCTGATACAATAAAACTATAGGTTGAGCCACTGAAACACGAATGATAGAAAATGATCTGATAATGCATCAGCCATTACTAATCCAATTAATCCATTAATACTCATTAAGAGTATTTTCACTTTTATCCTTCCAAGTATATTTTACATCCTGACACTTGAATGTGAGCCTTATTCTTAAGTGTGGTACTTGTACACTGTTTCATTGCTACTTCTAAATTAAAACTCTGAATTCTTCCTTAAAGAGACCAGAAACTTTACGCCTTCTTTCATTTTCCAACAGAATCAAAGGAGTCCAGTGATACTAGAAACAAAGAGGTTAATCTGACTCAGCACTGAGACCCTTAATCCCCAGGGAGTGACTCACAAATGATCTCCTTCCTTCTCAGGAAGTGTTCACCCAGTTGTTTTACAACTTGTGGAAATGGTTCATGAGAAGCTTGCTGACGACTTCAAAATGAAGGAGGCCATTAGTAATGTTCTGTATGTGTGATATAACTATTTATTCATTTATGTATAGATGTATATATGATAGTTACATGTATAAATGGATATATTTATACATTGTATCAGCCAGCATTGCTGTTCTCTCTGTAAACACTCTTGTTTTACTGTGAATCATTGAGTGAATCACAGAGAAATCTGCCGCCCTCCCTTTCCTTTTGAAGGTCTGGAATCAGGGTGACGAAGGATTTACGACCAGAAGGAAACTTTATTGCGAGTTTGTGGCGCTAGTTCTTTCAACGTGTGTCTGTTCTGCCCAGACCTCAACATGTTAAAATGTTTTTATGTTTGTATTCATCATTAATCAATACTTCAGTAAGAAGCTGATTCACATGCTATTCTTTTTATAGCACTACACTACTTCCTCCTGGAGGTGTTTCATTGGACGATTAAAGGGTTCATCCTCAGAGAACAATGAATGTATGGGCACACATGTCATGGCAATCCATCCAATAGCCATGGAGACATTTTATCCCCAAATCTACAAATATGAACCAATTGGTAACCACAGACCAATGGAGGACAGGACATTAGGTTAAGAAATATTTTACACAATCCAAAACAACTCAGAGAAGTAAACAGTGAACAGGCTTCAATGAGAGAAATGAAAATTTCAATAACTTTGCATAAATAAAATGTCACAGCAGATAAAACGTTTGTGACAAAGTGCATCTGTATTTAATACAGAGGCCTCTCGTGGGAATTTACATCATTTCTACATTCAATCGATCACGGTGAACGAGAAGAGGAAGGTCGCTCCACACTGAGGTGTAAGCTTTGCAACCGCTGCCGTAGAAACATAAGAGTGCAATAAAAGTTCTCCGCCCCGCCTGGTCCACGCCACAGTTTAGGGGCCGTGTGCGAATGATCAGTGTGCAGAGAAAAACGGAGGTGCTTTCAATAACAACTTAGAGCCACTACAAGTAAAGCTGGGTGTAAAATAAAACGCACAACTGCAGTACCTACCACGTGAACTTGTGACAATCGGCTTCAAGCAGAAACATTCGAATGGTCCGTTTTTTCAAGATCTGGGCACAAAATCGGGTTATTTCTTAATACCCACACTAGCCCTGGGTTCAAATATTTCTATATTGTCATTGACTGAAGGTGTTTCTGGTCTCTTTACGGAGCTTCATCGTGAGTCTAATAATCTCATAACTTATTGTGTTTCTCTCTCATAGATCATCAAGATGCAGAGGACTATGTTATCCTTTCATAGCCTCACTATACTCGACCTGCTCAGCAAACTGCAGACTGACTCGGTTGCGGACCGGCAGGTGAACATAGCGGAGCATTTAGCAGCTAAAATAACAGACATTTGGTGGTGGAGACCAAAACAGAGCAAGAAACTGAATGTCACATTACTAATCATAAATAGTAATAATGACAATAAACAGTTTCCACCATGACTAGATAGTAACAGGAAGCCCTTCACACTCTAATCATTTCCACGCGGTCCTTTACGCAGACATTAAATAAATATTTAAAAAGTAGGTATTCATATGAGCTGCTGCTGAGAAGCTGCTGGTCATTTGAGACATCCTCGTCTTTAAGACAAAGAGTCTTTGGTGCCACGCGTTCGATCCCTCTTCATGTGTCACCACATGCTGGATGTGAAACCCGACTCTCGAACTGTCACGTGAGGTTAAGGCTCGGCTGGAAGCAGGGGAGGGGCGGGGCCTGACCGAGAGGAGGAGAAAAACATAAGATGCATTTTAGACACTTCCATAAATATCATGTCACTGCTTGTGAATTCATCTGGTAGCCATTAGACATGACAGAAAACATGTTGCAGCAGGAAATGTTTGGCTCTTTTTCTTTTGCTTCATAAACTCCCATGAGGTGACTCACCCGTGTCTTACTCAGAGGAGGTAAAGGTTTGGATGGAGGTACGGGTTTCGTCTGGGAAAGGAGAAGAAATTATGGTGTTTGGTTTTGAACTAAAAGTACTTTGGGAGTTGTATTCGGAGTTAATGCATACGTCTGATAATATTTCTATAATAATAATTATTAATACAAATGAAATTGTAGCCCGATATCTGAGCCGCAGAATCACATTTATTGTTGTTTAAAGTAAACAGGATAAAGTAAAATAACTGTGCAAAAAATGGGTGTAAAATGAAAAAAGTTCTAAACAAAGGAAATCGTGCAGATAAATTCCCTCAATAATTAGTTGTTGTTGTTTTTGTCAGACGGTGAGCTCCATTGATATCCACTAAAAATACTGTAGTTCATTCTCAGTCAGTTAAACAAACAAACGCGTGTGGATTCATCGTCATCAATAGTTCTAAAATAAAGAAACTGCACCATTTACTGTTTGTTTGATTAAAAGTCATCAGATGTTTTCATTCATATTAAACAAAGGTATTTTATATGTGTTTCATTTCTAAATGTTCAGCTGAGAAACACTTTGTTGTTTTGTGTCATTTTACATTTGTCGACCATAACAAAAACACAGACCTGCGCTGGGGGCGGCGCTGGGGGCGGCGCTTTGGGAGGCTTTGGGGGCGGAGCCTTCTGCGGCTGCGGAAAGGAAGCGGTTCATAAGTGTCTGAGTACTTTGTAATCACTTCACCTGTGCTTCCCCTCCGGGTTGGTACCTGTGGAGCAGCTGCGCGGGGCGGCGCGCTGACCATCAGAGGAGCGCAGGCCTGCGTCGCCGTGGACGCCATGAACGTGGGCGGGCTGATCTGAGGTCTGCCGCTCACGCCTTGCTCCTGGAACACCCGGTCCGGCCTGTCGGGAGCTGAGTGCACTTTCCTGGGGAGAGAAGGGAGCGTTCGGCCGGTGGAGGTCTGACCCGGGACGCTGGCTTCAAGGGTTGGAGGGGAAGGGGCGCGGGTTACCTTTTGGAGGCGTAGTTGTCCATGTCGTCCTTCTTGCAGCACAGCAGCCCCGCGGTGAGCGCAGAGATCAACAGCAGGATGGAGACGGCCGCACACACTCCGGCTATGATCCCGCTGTGACCTGCGGGCGTGAGCGAGAGGCCTCAACACCTGGAAACTGTGTGATAGTCGTGCTCCTCAGAGGAGGAACTGCAGTAACCTTCCTCTGACTCAGAGGAAGGTTACTGAAGTCAGACTAAACGCATCAGACTTAATGCATTTATTGATTGCAAAGCTTAGCATGCGACCCGCTAAACCAAGATGGTGACCACGTGGTCCCCTTCCTACTGAAAATCAGGAACGGAGAAAAAGATAATGAATAATAAATTCTCATAAACTCATTAAGAATCTTTTTCTGGGTCTTTTCCTCACACTGTAACACCTCAGAGACCAATAGTTGCACCATCACTCCGTGTCCTCATCGCACGCCGAAGGCAACTGCTAATTCTCACCGAGGCTTTCAAGTGAGGTCAGTTTTCAGGCGGACAGACTGAGGGAACCGCTCGCAGCGAATCACTGGACGAGTGATTCCTGTGTGTGTGTGTGTGTGTCGATGGTCTAGACTAGAGCGTCCGGTACCTTGAGGTAAATCTGCATACTGGATGTCGCAGTGCGGGGGGGCCCAGCCGGGGTCACAGTGGCACTCCTTCTTGTGATTGCACACCTGAGGAATTCCAACGCAAAACAGCCTCCATTCAAACATCGAGTCGCCCGTCGCCCTCCGGAGGAGACAAAGTCGTCTTCCACACTCACCCCGTTGTTGTTGCACTTCTTGGCGCACTCCTCCGGTCTCCCGTACGCCGACGCGTCCACACATTGGCGGTCGAGGCAGACCTGCGGACAAAAGCAGTTTCCGTGGTGAGCGGATTGCCCTGGCGAGCAAAGTGGCGACCCTGCGAGGCGCGTGCGTCTCTCCACCCCTTTCACCTTGTTGCCTCCACACCTGGTTCCCCTCGGCACCATGTCCAAGCTTCTGGTCCTGTCGTCGTCCACGGCCAGTTTACACTCGATGCCGTAAACCTTGTACACCGCCATTTTACCACTGATGGACTCACCGCCACCTCCGCAAAACATAGATCCACACAGGAGATTCCTGTAAAAAAGAACTTGAACCGTCTTATTCTGACCGCCAGGTGTGATTTTGTGACAAACGTCTGGACAGTGAGCGGGTCAGACTGTGTACGTACGCCGCAGCACAGGGGACGTAGCCCGATTTGTTCCTCCCGCAGTTATCCCCTTCCTCGCCCCGCCTGTTCAGTCCGAAACACTCGGGTGGTCCGACGGTGGCCCCTGAGGAGAAAAAGACAGAAGTTGACTCCGGCAGCCAGTCAAGACGGGTCGACAGTAGTTAGGTGAGCTGTACCTTTGCCAAACAGCCTCCAGCAGTGCTGCTGATGTGTGGGGCAGCGCCCGCTGTGGCAGAAGCCCTCCCCCTGGTCGAAGCAGGGCTTCCCGTCCATCTGGAAGGCGTCCTCGGGGCAGTCCGAGGACGCGCCGGTGCAGAACTCGGAGAGGTCGCACTCACTGGCCTTCTCGCGGCACACGCTGCCCGCCGGCTTCAGCTGTGGGTTCGGGGGAAGGAACGCAGGGGGAGGAGGAAGGAATCGGACATTTGAGGAAGGATGTGGTGAAGCACGTGACACAGACTCTATTTTTGAATTCTAAAGACTCGTGTGATCTCCAGGGCGATTGGTGACTCTAAATTTCCCGTAGGTGTGTGAATGTGAGTGTGAATGGTTGTGTGTCTCCGTGTAGCCCTGCGATTGGCTGGCGACCAGTCCAGGGTGAACCCCGTCTATTACCCGAAGTTGGCTGGGATGGACTCCAGTGACCCTGTGTGCAGGATACGCGGTTTGACGATGGAGGGATGTGTGACCCCCTGACCTTTCCGTCTGTACCGCCGTGGGGTTCACAATTCACATTACATAAGATGGCTTGTCTTGACATATCTTATATCTACGTCCATTTCATTAATACTTTGGTTGATGTCCCATCAGCCTCAGCTCTGCTTTTGTTGCTAGTTAACAAATGCACACATTAAATTAAGATGGTCTCCATGGTTTAACCTTCTGCCGTCTACACATCAGTATTCACGGGCAGCAGAGCCTCCCCGTGAGGCTGAAGTACCTGGCAGTTGTCGCAGCATTGCCCGTGAGCACACTGGGATCCTCCAGTCAGGAGACACGTCGAGGCATCGCAGCAGCGGTTCTTGCATTCCTGGGGAAAAAAGCAGTCTGTGTATCTGGTTCAATCCGAGCTGCTCAGATTCAAATCTCCCACACGAGCAGCGTCTGTGCCAAGAATGACGTCTCCCGGCCGTGAGCACACAGGAAAACTATTTTTCTGGCCTCTTCTCCCATCAGCACACAGGAAACCAGGGACCCCAAACTCTGTCTTTCCCCACCAAAAGCACATATTCAAACTTTACTTTCACAGGGTTTATTACCTCCACGGTGCCGCAGTCGCACTCCTCCCCGGGGTCCAGCAGGGCGTCGCCGCAGCGCGGGCCGGCGGCGACGCTGCGGGCCGAGCCGGGGGGACGCAGGCAGCCGGGCCGAGCTCGCTCCATGAAATCAGCCAGCTGCTCCACGCTGCAGCCGCTGAACAGCTCCGGGAAGGCTTGGCTCCCGGTCCTGGAGAGGAGAGGAGAGGCTTCAGGGTTGAAACCCCCGCAGTGAGGAAGAGCTTCAGTGGCCTGCTGGGCCCGAAGCGGCCCGAACCTCACCTGAGCTTCTCGGCCATCACGCAGGTCCCGCTGCTGTGCGACGGACCACACAGACAGCCGGCGGCGTCGTGGGACAAGCCGAAGTTATGTCCCATCTCGTGAGCGATGGTGGAGGCGAGGCCTATCGGGTTGTCATGGTGATCCTGAAAGAGACACGCAGGACTCAATCCAGCGGGACGTATCGAAGAATAACCCCCCCCCATCCCCCTCCCCGTCTCCTCCAGATGTAGAAGGATTCATCTAAGTGAAGTCGTCCTGTTTTCTTTTTAATACCTGATTGACTCCGCCCGAGTTTTCGGTGCACATCGCAAACTTGTTCGCAAGTCCGACCGTGTCTCCGTCAAAATCCTTTCCCCTGTTGAGAGGGGGGAGGGGGAGGGATGGAGGGGGGGATAAAAGTAAGAAAATGGCCTCATCGCTCTACTCGGCGTCTGCAGCGAGGAGTCGGCCCGGCCCTCACGTCACAAACTGGGCGTTGTCGTGGTCCGTCCGCCGCAGCAGGTCGGCCCGCCGCCACAGCAGGAAGTTGTCCAGGGTCGTCTCCGACTTGACGTCCACGTCGATGTGGTCTCCGTCCGTCCAGATCTCCAAACCCACCAGCACCACGCGGATGTTCAGAGGTCGGTACAGCTGGAGGAGGAGGAGGAGGAGGAGGAGGAGGAGGAGCCGTTATTCTGGAGCGAGAGCCATCGGTTGAGGTCATCCGAAAAAAAAAGGTCACAAAAGGTCACCTTGTCGACGTGATTTATGACCTCGAGGATCCTGGATTTTGTCTGGTCTCCGTACCGCTTGTACTGGAAGGGGGAGGAGACACAAACTCCATCACACTCATTCCTTCATCAGCTGCTACGGTACACCAGCCGCCCCCCTGTGGGGCGACGGCGCTGGCACTTTAAATATTCACCTCGGCGTTGTCCACGACCACAAAGAGCTCCACGAACTTCTGCGGGCCGGCGACGGCTTTAGTTTTCTTACGGAAAAAGCAGGAAACAGAAGGATTCAAGCTTCGCGTGCACGTCCTCGAACCGATAAACCGTGCACCAGGAAAACCGCGTCGCCTACCCACGATCTGGACCTGAAGAGGCCAGAGAGCCGAGGGCCCGGGTCCCGGTCCGGGTTGTGCCGCGTGGTGCCGTTGGGGGAGGAGCCACAGGCGAACGGGCCGCCGAGCTTCAGGTGCTCCCGTCTGAACAGCGCGTGGTCGCCATCCGCGGCGCGTCCCAGAGGCTCGATGAGGAAGACCTGCTGCCGGAGTCTGAGGAGGCCGCTGAGGACACACGGGAGAAGAGAGAGAAGAAGCCTCGTCAAATCATTTCACGCTCCACACATCGAAGAATAGAAGCTTCCCACGAGGCAACTTTTACGAACCCGATCCAAAGGGCTTTAAAGCGGAGCGTCGTTGAGTTGACGCGTGTTCCTATTTGTTTGGTCACATATCTCACACCGCTTCGCTCAGTTTGTGAAAGCCAAGTGTCTTTATTTATGCAATGTTCTCGAAATACAGCTTCCTTTCTTCCGGGAGTATCACCGTACCAATATACAAAGCGTATATGTCACAATTTTATCACATACACGGTTAAAATACTGTGCGGCTCCGCTCCGCTACTGTCCTTTACCAACCGCCGCAAAACCCGTCATCACGTACAACTGGGTGACGTCAGCCCGCAACCCGCGTGCATTTTTATACACAAACAGTGAACCCCACAGCGGTGAAATTAGACACACACATACACATCTGATTAACTGAACATGAAACTGCAACACAATACACATTTAGGCTCCTACATAGGGCGAATAAATGAATCACAAGGATATTTAAAGAAATGCTGAAAAAGGAATGTAAGAGAACAGACATACAGGTTTTGTGCCGGTAAAGTGCAATAATGTGATACGATTACGAACGTATTACTTAATATCATGAAGCAATACGTTTCGCAAATATCTGAGAAACTCCCACTGGAGACAACGTGAGCGGAAAATTACAAAAGGCCACATAGATGTCCGTTGTTGTTTCGTCACCTGATGCCTGAACAGATTCCCACGCTGACCGAGGAGTCCTCGAGGCCTCGGATGTGGCCGTGGTAGAAGCACAGCTCCTGCATGGAGACACACGCATCAGATCACAGGCCTCCTCTGTGTTTAATACCTGGACGTTATGAATCAATGGGGGACGTTTGATCGTTATCGCGTCGGGTTTAACTCAGCGGGCGAGAAAAGAGACGTTTCTTATCATTTCTCTCTAATGTTACAATAAACAAACTGATCTTGTCGTTATCTTTCCCTTTTTAGTAAAATATGACAGTAAATTTAGATGTTATGGAACCAGCATTTGGCCAATTCTAACGCATCGCACCTTTTATAATGAATCATTCCAATGGAATGTGAGAATAATATAGAATGAAAACCTGAATTTCTTTTTTAAATAGAAAATAAACTGTTAATTTCCAAACTATCAACCACAAATTACAACAACTTCAATAAAATGTCATCTTACTACACAAATTCGTCTTAATTAAATAAAAGTCTCACCTCCTTTGGAGACGTCGTCATTCGTTTTCCATCTTGTGAATAACGCGTTTCAGTGAAGCCTCTCCCAATAAGATTCCTAAAAGATATGAAACGCACAACGGTTTAAATAATGTTGCTTTCCTGGAACAAATTCTTTTTTATTCTATGAATATTCTATATTTATTATTTGTTCTTTATAATGAATTAATGAATAGATTCAATTTAGGTTTCAGTTAAGGAGGTTGACCTGTTCTTTTCCAGAAGAATTGTGTGTTTTGTCCCTTCGACCGTCAACTCGTATTGAACCGCGTCAGGATGAAGCTGTGGGAAATTGTTACACAACAAACTATCAATAACCTTCAAAATGAAAACAGTTTGACTTTCTGAGAGAAGTTTTACCTCTTTCACTTGAGTAAAAGAGATAAAGCTTCAGTAAACATAGTATTATGGGCTAAATGTCCTTAAAGTATTCGCCCCTGGTGCTCTTTAGGACGGATGTATTATTTTAAATGATATATCATGAATTATTGTTTCTTTTGCTCAGATGTGAAAAGGAGCATTTTAATGTTAATTAGCTGTTCAAGAGGAAATTAATATTACATATTGTATTTATCCAGTAGTTTATCTTTTAACACAGCGGTAAAAAGTAACCAAGTACCTTTACTCTGCATGTGTACACTTCACACAAATACTACTTCACATCTCAGAGGGAAATATTTTATTTTTTTACTCCACGGACTTTGACAACTTTGAATAGTATATAAACACGTTGCAAATATAGCAGTGAAGTCCTTATACTGTCTGCAGTTAATCTTTAATAATAATAATTCAGGACAGAATAATGTTTGAGGACACCTCTGTAGCTGCACTAGAGCCACATTTTGAACAGTGATCCTATTCTATAAGGTGATGGGAGTCACCTGGGGGTCCTGCGGGCTCCTCTGAGGTCGCCCCTGAAGCCTCTGAGGTCGGACCACCTCGTACTTCTCCACGTGAGACAACAGCCCCGACACCTGCACGACAAACACTGCACACGACAAACAGCAGCGTCACTTCAGGTCCACACGGAATACACAAGGTCACTCAGATCCGTGTCCATTACTTCCTTCCTACTACTTCCTCTTTACATTTCCTTTTTACAACAGAGTAACTCAAGTAGTGCACTACAAGTTTACTTTACTTATATACAATTTATACTACTTTTCTAGACCTAAAAGATTTATCAAATTAAATCAAATAATTGTCTTTCGGGACCTTTCGAGACCAAAAATGAAAACACAGTTCTTTTTCAATCTTAAAGATTGTACTTTATATAAATGTACCACGGATTTTAATCCGTGGTACATTTACATCTATTGCAATATTTATATGTTTTAGCATTAGAAGCTGTGTGGTTTCGCAAAAGAATTGCTGTATTACAGGTTTTCTTCATTGATTACATACACTATTTCAATTAATTTACACTGTTTAAACAATTCTGAAAACTTTGTTGGTAATTTGTATCAACGAAAATAATGTAGACCGCTAAACAAACTACGGTTTAATGCAATTTAATGAAAAAAACGATTTGCTGAATAATAAATGCGTAAGAAAGGTAATATAAAAAAAGAACACCGAGATTCTATTAAATAATTAAAATGAGAATCTTATTATTAAGTTCACTTAATTCAGAACTTTATTACCACTTCGATATGGTTTGTTTGTCTTAGAGGAGGAGAAAGAGCAACATACTAAAGACAAAGAATCAAGAAAGCATCAGAGGAGTGAAACAACATTCCCACTCTAAAGACCCACTTGTTGAATTTCTGGTTTTCTGGCCAAAAAACATTGAGGTGACAACAAATACAAATACTTTGTAATGCAGTTTCCCGAACAACAACATCATATCGCCATTTAAAACCAGCGCAACCTTTTCCTGTCAAACCTTCTTCATCTCCTGCGAAAACAACCACGAAAGCATTTATTATTGTAATCTTAATTACCCGACGTCAGCCACAGTGAGACCATGGTGCTGCTCTGCGTCCGGCCGCCGCTCATCTCACCGTCAACACCCCGCGAATGTACGACGGCGGCTCCTGCGGGAGGAAGCTCCTCCTCCTGCGGGAGGAAGCTCCTCCTCTTCTCGGTTCCTTATCGCCGCCTCACACATTTACCGGAATGAAAACAGTCAAGTGAGCGGTGATAAGTGAAACGCGCTAATAAAGGAAAGACTTCCGGTGAAATGAAACGTGTCAAAATAAGAGCGCTAGCTGGAAGGAGATGTTTCCTAGCTAGGTAACGGTAGATCGTATCTGAGGAGCTCATAATGTAAGTGGTGAACTATGAAGGCAACTAGTTGTTTTTTAAGTTTCTTGGTGTTAAAAATATTCAAGGCAGTTATTGTAAATATTTCCTTATTGATCTACCAACGGCCAGACCGGAAGTAGCACTGAACCATTGATATTTACTTCACTCATTGAGTCACAAAAACTAAATAAGCTCTTACAAATCAACTTTATTTTAATAATTATATGATACATATTTAATAATGGCAAATTAGTAACGTTACCGTGTTCTGGGTTTATTGTCTACCAATGTTGCTCTACTGTGTACATTATACTGGGAAATCTAATTGAATGCAAACCACACGTCACATTTATGAAACGTTCCCTTTAGGTTGTGTGCGGGTTTGACAAGAATATTGTATTTTGAACTTTATTGTTTATATTTTGTATCTTCTCAATGTTCCCCTAAAATAATCTGGAAAAGTTTATTCAACAATTAACACGGATTTCTGAGGATGATGCACAGATGTTTTAAAGAAATAACGTTTCTGTTCCTCGGACTATTGCACCCAATGAGAACATAACTGCAAGATTGTTTTAAAAGTTTAAAGGATGTTGAAGGCGTGAATTCATTCAGTAAATTCTTGTTTTAATGAATACAAACATACATTTTTAATTTACCTATATGGAGTGCCCCGACTGTCATTTTCATATCAATTCCAAAGATTTACAATACGAAGCATTGAAATGACGCCGCGTACAATAAAGTACACAATATATAACAAAGCATTGACGACGAACAAAGCCAGCTCTTCTGTCTGCGTGGAAAGGAGCGGTTGGTGGTGGAGGGCGGAGATGAGCGAAGGACGTTCTCCGACGCTACGCTGATGCTTTCTGACTCCGCTCTATGGCCATCTTCTCCAGCCGCTCTGTGTAGAACCCGTTGAAATCCAACCTGTGAAATCGCAGAGAGCCGAGTTGGCGAAACATAAAACACACAGCAGCGAAACGCGTGTGATTTTTTACCTGTAGATGATGCTGATCATGCTGTGCTCGCAGTCATTGGTGCTGTAGATGCTCAGCTTGTCCAACAGGTCCAGTAGCAGCGTGCTAAAGTTACTGTCGAACTTGCTGATGGTGGCTTCCAAGCCTGCGTCCGACTGGTGGCTGTCTGCGTGCTCTGTTAACGACTGAAGCACGTAAACGTGTTAAAAACCCCACAAACGCGGCAACATACTTCCTTTTTTTTTTGTCTTTTTCATAGCGTGTGGACCCAATGAGCGCTTTTGGGGAAATACCTTTGTGATCAGCCGCTTCTTCTCTGCCTCTTCAGCGTGTTCGCTCTGAGCCAGAGGCCCGTCCTTGGTCCCCTGTTCCTGTGACAGGCGCTCTAATCTAATGCTCTGAGTGAAGCGCTGCAACAAGAGAGAGAGCTTGAGACTTAGGTAGGAGTTCTGCTCGTTTGATCTCTAGTTTCATGTCTTCTTCAATACAGCATGATGTTCATTCAGTGAAATTATGGTCCATTTAGAGTCAAACGGACCATAAAACAGGAAGTGCTTTAGGGCGGGATCAGGAACAAGTAGTTCCTCTTTATCAACTAACCTGCATGCAGCTCGTGAACATGACGCAGACCGACATGAGCTTGGAGAAGATCCTGAGGAGCTCGGGGTTGGTCAGCATGCAGTCCTTCAGGCAGTTGTCCAAGAAGCTGGTATGATGGCAGAGCACATCATCAATGTTTGACGCCTGCAGAAGAAGAAGACGAAGGACAAAAAGATGACATTTAATGTCATTAATAAAGGAGAAGAATATCAGAGGGTTTACCGGCTGTTCTTTTGTTGGGATAAAAAAAAAGAAAAGAAGAGAAAAACGATGGCTCCTCCACCCACCGTCTTCAGGTTGTTCTCCATGATGTGCCACGTGGGCTCCATCACCTCGAACATCATGTAGTACTGGATGTTCTGCACAAAGTTGAGCATCCGCTGCCGGAGGGCGAACGAGGCGGCGAACCTGCAGAGCGAGCTCAGTGTGAGGACACCATGGTCTCACTGTGGCTGATGTTGGGTAATTAAGATTAAAATAATAAATGCTTTCTTGGTTGTTGTCAGAAGAGATGATGGATGTTTGACAGGAAAAGGTCACGCTGGTTTTAATGGCGTTATAGTTATGTTGTTCAGAAAATTTGTATGTAATGTTATTTTGGTCAGAAAACCACAAATTCAACAAGTGGGCATTAAAGGTCCCCTTAAAACGCTGTGTGTGGACTCACCATTTGGCACAGTGAAGAGAGTAGAGCTTGAAGTCCTTGTTGCTGATCCACACGTTGCACAACAGCCTCTCCACGTGTTTGCAGTAAAACAGGTGACGGAACAACATCTGGTACCTCGTCAGGGCTTTCCTGCAAAGATTATTTCTAGTTAAAATGTGTGGACAAATGGGTTTAAAGAGTGTTAAAGTTAAGTTAAAGAGTTTACTAAGTGTACATCCAGACCGAGTGAGTCATCGATCAATGAAAATAAAAGAAGATTTTCTCAGAGCGCCAATTGATTGTTTACTGTGAGAAGAGAAGCAGCTCAGCAGCTCTCAACAAGGAAGAAGACTTTTAAATACATAAATAAATAAAGGAGAGAAGAGGCGGCGGTTTAGAGAACAATATGTACTAAAAGATGTATTTTATATTTAGAATATTCGGTTCCTTGTGATGGTATTTTTATTTATTTAAGGATCAATTGTTTTCCGTAAATTTCAATGGGCTTTTCAATAGGTTAAGTAGTAACTTACTTTATTATTATCGTAATATGCGGTAAGCCACATTTTATATTTAATTTTTCGGCTGTAAGACAACACTAAACATTTAAATAACAAAGAGAGTCACTCATTTTATTATTGTCTGGAAAATATGAACGACGCAGAAAACTGAGGTTGCATTTTTCATCTACAAATATGTTAAGTTTAAAGGACTATTACAGAAATTCCAATATTGCTGAAATGCATTTTTGTGTGTAATAATTTGGAGTAATCTGATTGTAAATGTCTTATTAATTAATTAAAAAACACATCTTCTACTTGTTAGCGCCCGAAGTTGGCTGGGATGGACTCCAGCCCCCCCGCGACCCTGTGTGCAGGATAAGCGGTTTGACGATGGATGGATGGATGGATCTTCTACTTGTACAAAAAACTGCATTGGTGTGTCTCTAAAATGTCAACTGACATTTATTCCAGTTTACAAAAATCCCAACTCTATACAGGATTTAAGCTCCTAAAGACCCTGAAGAACCTCACAAGTGAAGAAAACCAAACAACATAAAAAAAGGGGGAATGAGATCCAACCTATTGATGATGAGCGAGAGCGGCCACTTGACGATGTAGTCAAAGGAGAAGGCCTCCAGCCCGCTGAGCGCTGCCTCCGCGGCGTCCGCGTTGATGATGGCTTTTTCCTGCTTGGTCTCGATGGCCAGCACGCGCAGCAGCTGGGTGATGACATCATGGGGCATCAGGTCGATCTGCGGAGCAACGAGTAACGAGTCCAGATGTCATGACACGGCGTAACTCAGAAATCAAGGGAGCAACGTGGGAGATTCTTACGGTTTTTCTTTCCTGTAGTGTTTCATCTCTTAATGTTTTACTTTTCATATTATTGGTTTTGACAAAAAACAAAACTGTACCTGGTAAAAAGAGACGCAAAAACTCTCCGTAGTCGGGCTGAACAATACATTTAAAAAAATGAATTACTCAATTTTCTTTTAGATATTTTAATTCAAATAAATAAACTGTTAAAAATAAATATAATTTTAAAAAAATGTAACAATACATTGATTACATTAACTGAAGGAAAGTAAATACATATTTGTATTTAATTTTCCACAGGACATTTTAATAACTAAAATAAAACCAAGTGATAATTAAATAATTTTTTTTAAAGCAATCATTAGAACATTAGTAATTATACCAACAGCTCAAACACCACCACAGATTGACAGGAAGTTCCCACCTTGAGGTCGTCTTTGAAGGGGTCCGTGTTGGCGGTGCTCATCCTCAGAGCCAGCTCCAGCAGGGCTTCCAGCCTGGGAGGGACGATGTCGTCAACCGGCTTCTTCAGCTCTTCCTCCGTCAGGTCCATGAAGTGCACAAAGAAGTCCCCTTTGTCCATCAGGAAGTAGTGCTTGATGGATCTAAAGGGAAGCAGCACGGGCTGTTTTATTGGTACGTTGGTGAATCTCTACGTTCAAACAGATTTTGTGTATAAAATGCCAGCACTTTGAATGTGAACTGTCTCGGTGTTACATGAAATGAGTTTAAACTTGAACAGGCTATTTCCATAATAAATAAATGCTTCTATAAAGGACACAAACTTTTCAACTACACTAATCCCACCTCCCCCGCTACTTTCCTACTTTTACTGGAAAAGGTTTTTAAGATTAACATACTCCTGCTAGTATCTCGACATTATCAACCATTTACCTGAGACGTGATACCAGCTCCTTCTCCTCCATGAGGAAGGCCAGCAGGACTTTGCTGGCGTAGTTGTACGCTTTCTCTATCTGCTCCACATAAGCCCTCTCCTTCAGCGTGTACAGCACCTCTCTGGCATCAGGACACGTCACATCGCGGCCGCACTCCCGCACCACATTCAGGTATTTCCCTACCGTAACGAGGAGGGAGTTTACATATCTTTTTATCAGAGAAAGGCTCTTATAATGTTTTACATTTTGTTTTGTTTTTTTTCACCTGTGCTTAATATTTTGTCCGCCATTTTCTGTAGGAAGGAGGGAATACGATGTTGCACGATGGTGTACCTCTGATCCCAGTACTTGTCGTTGTAGTCCTCCTGAATCTTCTCCTTCTGCAGCTCGTGCTCCTCCACCATGAACTCGCTGTGGCAGCACAACAACGTTAAAACACACACACACACACAGAGGATTATGAGTGTGTCCCGATAGCATCAGTTTAAAAAGAAAACAAACGTGCCTGTACGGATCCTTGATGATGCCCCTGTAGATCCACTTCTCCAGTATTTCAAAGTAAGGGACGCTGGCTGCTTTGGTGAGGTAGAGGCACAGCTCCTGGGCTTGGCTGTCGCCCGTGTAGTTGAAGGTTCGATCGTGCAGAAGACTCAACGTTGACCCACCCATGCACTCTCCTTTGTCCACAGAGGACGCTGCGGAAAATCGGTGGAGGAACATCATTATATGAACAACGATTAAGTGCAAGAGGATAACCGAATCCTAAAACACTTTGTATTAGTTTTATCTCGTGGATAAAAGTCACGCACTGTGGTCAGAGCCCCCCGCTTGCTATATTTGATTGGTTAGCTGAGCCAAGCGTGACATTCACGAGTGGTGCAATTTAAAGTTGAGAATAATTTTCACTTTTATGTGCTTCTAAAAACCACAGGAAAAAGCTGACGCTCTGCACATGAGAGGAGAGAAAGCCAGGAAAATTAAAAAAACATTTTATAGGTACGCATTCATGTGCGATCGGAACAGAATATCCTCTTCATCTTCTAAGCAGTCTGGTAAAAAAATGCACTAAAGACCCATTACGGGTTCTTTCGCTTACCAATAGAGGCCAAGATCTCCATGGTCCTCATTGTGGGCTGGATGTAGAACCAGAGCTTCTGCAGGGACAGCAGGCCCTGCCGCTGGAGGTGCTCCAGTTGAGTGACCAGGATCAAATACTCCTTCATCAGGGTACGCATGGCCGCCGTCAGCGCGTGGTTCACCTGGCCGTACTCGAAGGACGACTTCTCCTCGATGAAGCTGGAGGACAAATGAAGGACCTCTCATCAGACAAGCTGGCCTCGGTTTTAAAAGGTGCGTGAGGGACACCTTTTCGTTCTCACCGCGTTATAGTGGAGTAATAAGACGCCACCGGCAATATCCTGTTCACCAGCTCTTTGATGGACATGTCCAGCGTGGAGTCCACGATGAAGGAGCGGTTCTGTCTCCCCAGCACCGGCTGAGCCGTGATGTCTCGTCCGTCCACTCCGACCAGGACAAACAGCAGGTCTTCGACTAGAGCCTGCTCCTGCGCCGGCAGCGGCATCGTCCCTGGAAGATGCACGCAGAGGAAAAGCTGGAATAAAACATTTGAGTGTTTCACACGGGTGAAGGGAGGGCCTGCGGGATCACGTTCCGAGAGTTCGGTCCGGTCTTCGGTGTGGGTTTAGGCTTCAGAACTAAATTATAACAGCTCAAGAAATCGGCAGTCAGGGGACAAAAATTGTTTGTCTGCTTCCTGCTGAAACCTACTGTTTATAAAGAAGTGGACGAGGTCAACATGGGGTCACTCATTGGTTTGCACACTGACGCTTTTGAGTTTGGCGTTGTGGCCGACGCCATGTTGTTTTTTTGCAACTATTGAACTTAAGTGACCATATTTGGACTGAGGAGGCATGACTATTTGGTAGAGACCTGAAAATCGCAGTGAGCCCCGGTGTAAATCCTACTCCACTTTACAATCTGTTTGACTCTAAATGTACCATAACTGACTGAATGAATATCCGGCTGTATTGAAGAAGTCTTTAAACTGGAAATCAAGACCATAAGCTCATGTTTACAATATTTAATGAGGAAATAAGTCAAGAGAAGTAGAGTCATTTTCTCAGACGTGGTCGATTCTCTACACGATCAGGAGTTGCCCCCTGGTGGCCATTTGGTGGAGTGCAGCTTTAACAAATAAAGCATCAGCTTCACTTTTCACAACACAGAGTTTGCTGCCTAGTTTCAACATGAAAAGTGGCAACACAACCAGTGTCACATCTTTCTTCATCTTTTCTCTCCATTCCCTTCTAAATACATCGGTAAATTTGTTTACTAAATCCACTATTGAGTGATGCATGAATACGTCTTCAGCCTTTGTCTTGTTATATGACGGGTAATAGTAGAATACGATGAAATTATTACAAGACCAACACAACCACCGAGTTGATGATCTCGCATCGGGAGGGACCACTGAGCTGATGTCTTACCGACGGCCACTGCCGGGTCTCCTGGAGGAGAAGGGCTGGTGATGAAGTCTCCGAGGAGCGCTGGGCGGTCGTACACCCAGTTAGGAAACACGGGGTTGGGCTGCGTGGGGTTCTTCTTGTTGTGTTTGTCCCTCAGCATCTTCCGCGTGACCTCAGCTGGCTGCAGACAAAACCACCAAGGTACGGGAAGTTTCATTTAGAGGCTGAATTCGACCAAACAAAGTCTTTCCCATAAGCAAGTTCTGGTGAAGAATAAAGTACTCCAACTGTTTCAATGTTCCCTGCCGGGCTTAATAAACTACCTAAAGCGCCTCTTATCAATGTGTTCCCTCCTTCGCTCCTCTTACAAATGTTTCCTCTCCATGTTCTAAAGTAGAGAACTATGGGGAGATTTTCCTTTTCCGATGTGAGGACAAGCACAGAGGAGGCTCTGTGTCGATTCTCTCGTGTCTTGTGAAATGATCTCCGGAGTAAGAAACGCTCACCAGAGGAGCGTTGGAGCTCGCAGTCACGTTGCCCAGCTTCTTCCGCAGCTCGTCCAGTTCCTGCATGGACATCTTTGTGCTGGTCTGAGGCAGCGTGTAACTGGTGGTTGAGGTTGATGTCGTGTTCGCAGATGACTCCGATCTCTCTTTGGCATTCTGCTGCAGAAATGGAAGTGTCTGAAAAGAAAAATATATCAAAACAAAGCTGTGAGACGTTGGGAAGAGAAAGGTCACCTTGTACGGTTCAACGTGGGGGAAATCAACAAATTGAGCCACATTAGATACCAGTGAATGCTGTCAATATTTTATTAATATCTGGCTCATTAACATTTGTTATGTTTTTGAGGCAGAATTTAGTATTATCTACTTATTCATTTACACTACACCCATAAAAACCCCATGATTCATTCTTCACATGATAATCCTTTTAGATCTGAAACGCCAAACGGATGAAATTCATTCATAACAAACCAAACCCTTTAACAATCGGCTTATCAACAATGTATTACCTCTTTATCCTCACAGAGTTTGGAGAGCAGATAAACCAGAGGGTCCAAGTTTCGAACATTTTTGGACTTGAGCTCCTCGTACTTCCTCAAGAAGTCCTCTGGGGTTTTAGAGAACTCTGCTAATTTGACCTGGAAACAATATAAACAGCCGGCATAAAGAGAATATCAACACATTTATTTCCGCAGGGAGTGTGACAAATCATTTTCATAGAAACATGCTTCTTTCAAACCAGATCTTAAGCCGTTGTTGGTTTGATTGCTGTTCATGTGCTAAATGCGCTGGTTTTACCGCAAAGTATTATTTAGCCTTTTTTGCCTTAAAAGTGAGCAGAGGGAATTAATGTTCCACAAGAGGTTTACGGTAGAGACTAGGCCTAATTTCAAACCCTTATTCACAACGGGAGAATATGTTTTACAACCATACAAGTCTCTTGGCTGCTGTAACAAGTCCTGCAGCGATTAATAACGTAGAACAGAGCCCCAGTTTATCCAACCAGCCGTTGCATGCACCAGCCGTTCTTTACGGACATCACGTCCCCTTCGGGACACTGTGGTCCGACCTTTTCCGTGACCTGAAAGCTGAGTTAAACCTTTCAGCAGTCCCAGGGCGCGCACCTTGGCACTGTGGGCGGACACGGTGGTGGTGACGTAGGGGGTCCGGTGTTTCTGCAGGAGGTCGATGTAGCCCTCCGCTCCGTCGCCTCCCCGGACGTGAAGCAGGCTGAGCAACTCGTTCACGTCGTGGTGGATCCTGAACTCGCTCATGGCTCAGGATTCTGAAGTGAAAACAACAACAACACAGAAGAAGGAGGTTAGCTCGTAAGTTCTTACTATAGCTAGTCAGTTCATGCTGGAAAAAAATAACTCATCTAATTTGATGTCTCAATTGTAAACCTTGCCGGTTCTTACAAGAGAAATAACGGTTGGTTATGTGATGCTAATAGCTTGCTAACTGGCTAAAACCGGGCAAAATGAACTATGGGGATGCTAACCGCTTAGCTAGCTCATACCGAAGGAACCGTAACATCCACAGAGCCGTTATAACAACTTTACACAGTTATTATAAGCCTCGTTTCAGGTGGAACCAAAGTCTGTACGTGTACCTGTCAGCTGCGTCTGGTTCAATAACAACAGCAAACACACGAGCAGAGGTAAAACGCGCCCACAACGAGTCAAATCCTTCTTCTTTTCTTGCTGTAATACATGTAGTAGCTGAGGCACACTGCCCTTCACAGGTCAACCACGGTACTGCAGCTGTATATAGCGGCTGATAATATTACCACCAATACATGTAGTGATTGTAAAACTTTACATTTATGGCACTTAAAAAATTAACTTTACATAGTTTGTTTCAAATGTTTTTATTGTGGAGGTTCCTTTTCAAAAAAGACAAAACATGGACTTGACATGCTTATTGTGCTGCTATCAGGAGACTCGTTTTTCACTCCTTTTGTGTCTAGTCCAACTGTCGCTAGGTTTCTTCTTCTTTGGTGTCTTGAACCAACCTGCCTGTTTTTTATTATCTTAAACCCTGTTTTTTGTGATGTGTGATTACCTTAGTTTTATTGTGTTCTTTAATAAAACCTTTTTTTCATAATAACAACAAAAAACAATTTTATGATTAATGTCTTACCAATAAACGTGCCTGCATATACATGCCAATTCATTATTTTAGGTTTATACTCACTCATCTGTATAATGTTGATAAATGAAGAGATGAGTAATGTAATTTTCCTACTATGAATATAATCTAAATTATTTTAAGATAAAAATCCCGACTAAACAGGAGCGTGTCTGCTTTTATTTTGAAAAGCGGCAACACAGCGGAAGTAAACAGTAATCACGTTACAACCCGGAAGAATTGCCTCTTTTTCTTCTCCTCTCCTCTCGATTTAGCGTTTGAACAGGACGAGAATGAGCGATTTATCCCGTCAAGACACGATCATACGCGGTGCTGCCGCCGCCGTACAGCCTTCAGGGGTCTTATCCGTGTCTTAAATCTTCCGGCGACTCGACGTGCGAGAGGCGTCCGAGTGCGAGCAGCAACGCCCCTGATGCCAGCCGAGAAAAACACCCCTCGCCCTGTTTACAAATCGGCCGGGAGAAATTGTTTCCTCGCAGTGTGGCCTTAGATAATCGTGCGGTTCTGTGTGTGTGTGTTTGACAGCCGGAAGAATTAACAAAAGAAAAAGAAAAGAAGAAAAAAAAACATGGCTGAACTGCATGTTGTGGAGCCGAGCGGCACAGGCACCATCGAGCAGCCGGAGCACCGCGACGTTCGCGGCTCTCTGCGCCTCGCTTCGCCCACCCTCATGGTCCCGCCGCGGGGCAGCCAGCTCAGCCCCGGCGGCGTGTCAGGCGGCAGCGGCGGCGGGCGATCGGTGTTCGGGTTCCCGGCGAAGAGCAACGCGGGCTCCCCGGCCGAAACGGCGGAAAAGCCCGGTTCGCGCTGGGTTCGGCTGAACGTCGGCGGGACGTACTTCGTCACAACCAAACAGACGCTGTGTCGCGACCCGAAGTCGTTCCTGTTCCGGCTTTGTCAGGAGGACCCCGACCTGGACTCCGACAAGGTGAGCACAGGGAGGCCGCCGTAAAGAGATGCATTCACGGGGCGGTTCACCAGCACTTATCGTCTGATGGCAAAGTGATGATAGTATCCAGTATCACGTGTTTACATCTAATTTGTTGTTTTGAGCAAATTTGTTTTTAATATGCCAATATTTTCAAAGTCATGTTCTATGAATATTATACATAATGCAAAATGTACATTTCAAAATTCATCCACCATCAGAAACAATACTTTTTTAATTACCAGAGTTAAATGTGTATGTTACGGGTACTTTAAGCATATAGATGAATAACTGCATGGGAAATTAAATAATAAGACGACACTTTCAGGGGAGTGTTTTAGTTTTATTGTAGAGACCCGTTTGGCATTCATCGTCTAACAATTGATGTCCACGATTTTGTTACATGTCATTTAGCTGACGCTTTTATCCAAAGCGAATAACAATAAGTGCATTTCAACAATAAGGATACAAACTCAAAAGAACAACAAAGTCATCAAAAAAGCCGATTTACAACTTGCTATAGGTAAGAGCCATTATAAATACAATTTAAGGGCTACAATTTGTTAGTCTTTTCATGATCTAGTCGAGTGTTTTGCTCTCAGTGAGGGAGGAACTAGCAGATGCAGAGAGCGCGGGTCGGGATGTTGGGTTTGACCGTGTCCTGGAGGTAAGCTGGACCCGATCCATTCACAGCATGGTACGTGAGCACCAATGTTTTGAACTGGACGCGGGCGGCCACCGGTAGCCAGTGAAGAGAGCGGAGGAGTGGAGTAGTGTGGGAGAATTTCGAAAGGTTAAAGACCAGTCGAGCTGCTGCATTCTGGATGAGCTGCAGAGGTGGAATGGCGGTAGCGGGGAGACCTGGAGGGAGGTAGTTACAGTAGTCGAGGCGGGAGAGGACGAGCCTGAATCAGTACCTGCGCCGCCTTCTGAGTGAGAAGGGGACGTATTCGTTAAAGTCAGCTGGTTGCTTTTAAAGGACTCATCTTCTTTTTGTGGAACATTTCTAAACTAATCCTCCTCAACCTCCCACCCCCGTAGGACGAGACAGGCGCCTACCTGATCGACAGGGATCCCACGTACTTCGGCCCCATTCTCAACTACCTCCGACACGGAAAGCTGATCATGGATAAAAACCTGGCAGAGGAAGGTGAGAGAGCGTTTAAAAAAAAACTATCGTCTCGCAGGTGAGCGTTGATTGAGACCAAGGACTAAAGAGTTTCATTGTTTCCTCCTCAGGGGTTCTGGAGGAGGCCGAGTTCTACAACATCGCGTCTCTGGTGCGGCTGGTGAAGGAGAGGATACGGGACAACGAGAACCGGACGTCTCAGGTACGAGGACGCCAGACTTTCCTCCAGTGCCAACACAGACCATCCGCATCGCTGAACTTTGCTGTTTGTGCGTGTGTGTGTGTGCGTGTCGGCCCCCAGGGACCCGTGAAGCACGTGTATCGAGTGCTTCAGTGCCAAGAGGAGGAGCTCACGCAGATGGTCTCGACCATGTCGGATGGCTGGAAGTTTGAGCAGGTGCACAAAAATGCAGCTTTTTATATTTTGTGTCCCGTTTTATCGTGTTGGAGAGACGGCTCCAACATTTTTATTCAGTTATTATCCCCTTCTAAGAGGTACTGCATCAAACATGCATTTTATTTTTCCAAAGAAGTGGTTCAAACATGATTTCTGTCGGTACGACAAAGAAATGAAGTGCTAATATGGATTCAACTTTGCATTCCGGCGCTCATTTAACTGAATTTATTTCAATAATACAACCACACAACAATATTTCAACCACCTTTTTAATATCATTGTATGAATTATTTTTAACATTAAGGTTTGTGAATACTGCAACTAATGGTTGCTTTCTCTTAATGGTGTTCTGTTTTTCTTACTCTCAATTTGGTTAATTTAATTATTTTGTCATTAGAATATCTGCAGCTACTAAAATGTGTTGTGTCCACCAACGATCTAAAATCTAGATATAATAATAGATGGATTACAGATTTTAAGAACGTGTTTCTTTCTCGCAGCTCATAAGTATCGGCTCCTCTTATAACTACGGCAACGAGGACCAGGCCGAGTTTCTATGTGTCGTCTCTCGGGAACTCAACAACTCCACCAACGGCATCGTCATCGAGCCCACCGAGAAGGCCAAGGTGAGGGCCCCCCCCCCCCCCCCCTCCCCCATTCAGAAATGTCTTTAACCTCCTGCAACATTACAGAATACAACTGAATCTTAATCTGCAGCAGACAACGTAAACAAACAGTCACATGGTCTCTCCATATGACACGCACTATATTTATATTACTGCCTCATGTCCTCTCATAAATCAGAGGAGTTCTTTATTGATCAATGTGTCTATTCAGTGTATAAAATGTAAAATATGTGGGAAGGGCTCGATTTAAATATCAAAACGGTCAACATAATGTGAATATATTTAGTTTTTTTCTTTGTCTTTTTATGCTCTGTCCTCTGATGACCTCACCAATAAGTAAGCCTCCTCTGAAGCGACTTCTTTGACCTGTGTTTCTGTCCTCAGATCCTTCAGGAAAGAGGCTCGAGGATGTGAGGAGACGCCAAAATAACATTTCATCCACGAAAAAACAAAACAAAAACTATAACACAGAACATTTTCTCCCGTTTTTATTGCGATCTAAAAATTTGCCATCAACATCCTGCAGCAACAGGACACCGACCTTCCTCTTCCTCCTCCTCCTCTTCCTCTTCCATCAACAGCTTCAGGCTTCAGTATAAAATGGATTAGAAGCAAGCGGGTTTCCTCAAAGCTCTTGTGGTGCTGATGGAGCGTAGAGCTTCTACTCATCAGCAGCAGCAGCATCACTTTTGCATTCGGCTCGGTTGTCAGAATTCTCCTCAGGACTTTCACAGGACGTAAAGGAGCGAACGCAACTCTGCGTCCTTCAAAATCCTTTTCCGGAAAGGCAAGCACAAGAATTTCATTACACAGGGCCTGTGTAAATGACAATAAAAAAATAAATTAAAAAAATCTTTGAATCTTCAACTGTATCCCGGCAATGGACAGAACGTCCCCCGTCCCCGTCAGAGGCAGGTCAGAAGTGGAATCCAAGCCTGCTGGATGCAACGTTTTCCTCTTTCAGAAACACCTGAGATGAAGCGCCTCCTTTCAGTCGTCCTCTCCTCATCTTCCTCATCATCATCCTCCTCTGTTTCCAGCAACCCGGCTCCATTTGGTCGCCGCCTCCGGGGAGAACGTTTGGGGATATTATTGTGCGGGAAAAGAAGAAAGCGACTGACTCTAAATGACTACACTTTATCGAGGCATGTGAGGACTCTATATACATCTATATCGGCGACACGATGACATTTTATGAAAATGGTGTAATTACTGATTTCTGTATCATGGTTGTCATATATTTACATATTTCCAGTGGGTGAGTTGATTTTAAACGACGGGTGAGAATATCGCTTTCCATGACCCCGTTCACATGGACGTGAGTAAGTGTGTGCAGTGCTTTTTAATGTCCACCATTGAAACATCACAACAATTAATCAGCTGCACGTTTTCTGTAAGTGTTCCTCCTGCTTTGATCTCTCGCATATCTTGACAATTGTAAATTAGGTAAGAGGACGTTCTGTTCCAGCTGACTCGCCTGAGGTTTGTTTCTCTTAACGGTGCTGATTTTAAGACTCGTAACAACATGGGAACACACAAACTCTCCATTATCACTCTGAAAGTTTGATTTTTTTTTTTAATATATTGTGAAATGTACTGTTTGTGACAGTGAAACAAATGTGCATTTACAAAAACCCAACAAGTAACTAAGGAGGAAGTCAGATAACTAATTGCAGCTTTAAAACTTCATTTTTCTATTTTTGCCTTTTGAGAAATTAAACCAGGGAGTTTTTTCTGTTAATTGAATCAAACCGCCAAGAAAATGACGTTGTACTTTTTCTTATTCGAGCAGCTTAATGTGGAGTTCGATCATTATTTACACATATCAGACGGGAAACCTCAGATTCTCATGTTAGATATCTGAAATGCAAAAAAAAGAGAAATAGGGCGTCAGATTTTTACGATCACCTTTCTTTGTACAAAGAAAATATTTCATGCGGTTACGTTATATCACGCATTAACAAAAAGATAAATGTAAATTCCCTGTTTTGTTGCGCTAACTTGCTCTTGAGCTGAATTTGCTCACATCAACCAACCCCCCCCCCCACCCAGTTGTTCCTCAAAAGAGTTCCGGATGGACAAACAGGAGGGAAGCACGGAGAAAGTTCTCTGCTCTTATCTTAGTAAAACTCCAGCTGTGCGCTTCTTTTTTTCATTGTGTTGCATGTTGATCCACCGCTGATGATTTCACTCTCTTACAATGTGTGTAACTGACCTCACGCCTCGTTGCCATGGTCTTCATGGTCCCCGGGGGGATTTTCCCTTGGTTGCTTTTAGTTCAGCGATTTCCAAACTCTTAAAAGATAGAAAAGCAGCAACAAACAACATGTTTGTGTTCTGCTTCAGTTCCTCTTCTAAACTGTGAGTGAGTTCACCAGTTTCCATTAAGATTTGTGCAGATGTGCACGGTCCCCAGAGGATGAACCCGGCGGGCTTTGGGGGATCTTCTGACTCATGGGTGGCAAGTTTTTGGGCCTTGAACAGCCAACAGGTTAAGATGATTGCCAGAACAGATAAAAGAACCCACGTGTTCATGAAGATGAACGAGGCTGGTTTTTATCGGTGTGTCTGCATATTATCAGAAAATGTATTATCGGCTCCTCTTGAGTTTTATTACAATTTATGTCCACTTGAAATATTTGAAGATCAAGAAAATTTCAGTCAATTTAACTTGACATGTTCAAAGTTGTCATAGAGTGTTATTTTGTAGACAAATCTTCCGTAGTTATTTTTTTGTGCAGGAGTCAAGTAGATTATTAACCAGTCTTTTGTCTCGAGAGAAACCTGTTGAACCGCTGAAGATTGAAATGCGCTGATCTCAACCTTTTGAATGAAGCATCTGTTTAAAAAAACAAAAACAAATTCTGTTCCCATTTTGTTTTTTACTCACCTGCACTATAGTTAGTGAGCTAGTCAAACAGATGATGTGCAATTATAACAAATCTGCAAAAAAATATAAATATATATATATATACCTGTTGTTGGGGCACGTAAAAACGCGAGAGCATGCTTTGTTCTAGAGATTATGACGTGTACTTTGTCCTGGAATTTGTCAGACCTTCGTGTTGGTGCGAAGTGTATGTGATGCATGGCGGGGGGGTCGAGGGGGGGTGGGGGGTCATGGACTTGCGGTTTGTAGGTGGAGATTTGTTGTTGGTCCTCAGCGAGACGCATTTATCCGCCTCAACACGTTTTCTCGGTTGTTTTCGTATCTTTGTTGCATCAGTTTAACTCAACTTCTAGATGCAGGATAGCTTTAAGAACCCCTCTCCTCCAATCCCTTTCTTAACCTCGGTTTAAGATCATTTACTCAACACACGAAAATACTGTTTTTTTCGTTTTTCATTCCATGGATCACGTTGCCAGTGAATCTGTAGACACACTGCATGCGTTTGTGGAAATGCACCACCTGTACACTTGTTAAGAGGTACAAATGTCACCTGTTAACAGTTACTTTGTGATCATTTATCAACAGTATTGATGTCAAATGTGAATAATGTCGATGAAGACTGTGGAGAAAAAACAGTTTGGGAGCTGACAAAACATTTTTTTTTCTTTTTGTTGTCTGATGTTTGTTTCACTTGTATTTATTTTATATTATTTTTGAATTTTGTCTACAGAAAAGTGTCATTTCTTTACATGTGGCAATCCTAACAACATCCAGTCTGGTTTTTAATCATAAAATGTGTCTGTGTTTTAAACAAATTTGACTCGCTGACTGTTTCTGTTGATCTAAAAAAAAAGATGTTGAACAGAAGAAGAGATCTAGAAAGTAGTCGCCTACTTGAGTAAATGTACTTTCTACTGCTGAAAAGTAGCATAACTGTAAATATTAACATTCCCTAAATGCGTACTGTGGACAGTCAGTATACTACTGGCCAGTTCAATCTATAATATTCTAAACTCAATTTATTTTAGTTATATGTATTAATCTGGATCTACAAATAGCTTCAATTACAGAAACATAAAATTGTATGCTCAAGTATTTGACAAAAGTAAAGTCAGTTATATAAGTTATATAACTTAAACTGTCAATTAACTGCAATGGAGCAAAACGTACCATCTACTAAGTAAAATTAAATGATACCGCTAAAGTAAAACTACCTTTATTGACCAAAGGAGGCCTGCATCTGCCGAGGAAAGGAACTTTGTTGCATCAAACCAGCATCCATGGAAATAATACCCGCACAGAGTACTTGAGTCCTGCAGAGCCGGTCTAACATGTAGTGCACTACATTATAATTTATGATAAATCTGCCTCAGTGAAGCAGCGCCACGCCGCATCCGACCCTCCCATCGCGGCCGCGTCAGTCTCCTCCCACCGGGCGGTGCTGGAGCTCCTTCACCCTCCCCTCCCATCCCCTCCCCGCCTCCCGAGCAGCGGCCGAGAGTGAGGGAGATCCGCGGGGCGAGAGCCGAAGAGCCGCAATCAACATTGAGGAAGGCAGAGGTGATTATCTTTTTTCTTTCAAGATGCATTTGATCGTGACACCGCGGAAGAGAGCGATGCTTTAAAACCGCTTCCTCTTCGCTGATCCGGGGACGTCAGAGGGGGGAGGAGGAGGGAGGAGGAGGGAGGAGGAGAAGGGAGGAGAAGGGAGGGGGGGGGGGCACCGATGCAAGGAAACAAACCCGCTGCTGTTCGCGGCGGTTGTTTGCAGAGGTGATGCTGATGGCGTCTCTGCGTCACATCCCACGGGTCAGCGCGAGTTGCGTATTTAGCGCAGATGGCGGGTCAGTTTGGGCACGTCGGGGCGGAGGGAGAGGTGGAGGGGGGGCGTTTCGGTTCGCCACCCCCCCACCCCCATCCCTGCACGGGCCGTCCCGCGGGGAGGACCTGCCAGTCAGCATCACCTGCATGCACGGAAGACCGTTTATTGAGCATGTCCCAGAGGACACGTGGACCGCGGAGAGAGTTATGTAACAACTCGTCCAGAACACCTCAGAGCGGCTGGTCCTCTTCTCCCTGTGGTTGTTCATCATCTCCATCTTTTGTTTCCTTTTTAAGTGGGGTTTGTGTCTGCACTATTTGGGCCTGGTTGCCGGGTGTCTCTGTTGTAATTTTGTGTATTTCTTATCACTTTGTAGTGTTTTTGTGTCACCATGTGGTCTCTTTGGGTCTCTTCCTGGTTGGTACTTGTCGCTTGGTAGTCATGTGACTTTCTTGTTTCTAGGGAGTCGTTTAGTGTCTCTTCCTGGTTGGTGTCTTCCAGCCAGGTAAATGTGTGTGTGTGTGTGGGGGGGTGGGGGGGGGGTATGACTCTATGAGCCACGCTGCCTGCAGGAGATAAAAACAGTTCATGGCTGGTGGATCGGATTGCTGAGCAATGTGATGAACCCCCCCTCTCTCCCTCTAACTGAGGGAGCCCCTGAACCAAGCAGCTGTCTGCTTGGTCAATTGAGCAACATCATCCAAATAGTGAAGAAAATGCAGAATAATAACTTGTTGCTTTTTGAAGCCAACTGTACACTACGCTATGGTCATGCAAGACAACATTATTTATTTTGACTTTATTGCACCCACTAACACTTCTTCTGGTTTTACTCCAGTTGTAGTCATGTCAGTGGAACCACAATACTGTAATAATTCATGCAATATTACACCAACAACAAGTTCAAATGTAAGAATTGTGTTTCACTGTAATTTATTAAAAGGTGGTTACTTTACTGTTAGCAAACAAAAGACTCAACACAGGTTGTCAATGCCAGAGATAAGCAGCGGGCGCTGCGTGCACGTATAACGTGTGTGTTCCCAGGGCCGGGCTTCTGCTCTGGTGGTTCACACTCACAGCTTTGCTGTTGTAAAAATGGAGCCACGGAAACAGTTGTTTGGATTGAGCTTCCCTTTGCATGCCCACGGGCACATTTCAGGCCAGCACACTTCTTCTTTGTTAACTCATGCCCTGATCTGCAGACACTCGACCAACCAGGAATAGTGTGATCTAAGATTAGCTCCAACCAACTTCTTTTAAGGCAGTAAATTCTGGTTTGAAATGAAGCAGGTCCGTTGGACAAGTAGAAACTATCCCTGTTTATTACCAATGCTTAAACCAAAATGAATTAGTTAATACACAGTTTGTTTTTTCTAACTAACTAGCAAAAAAGTTGGTTAATCGGTGACTGTCTCAGTTAAACTATGATTTATCAGGTTCAAAACCAATTCAGCGGATCAATTTATAAAATCAATCTTTAGCCGAACATGAATGTCTGTATCGTATAGTTGTTAAGATACTCGAGTCAACGTTAGGAGATGCTCGATACCATTAGGATCTATCCTCTGGGGAACACAATTGTCAATTTGATGGTTGTTTGACATATTTCAAGGGGGGCATAACGTTTGTTGGGATCCCGCAGTTGCTCTGCACATCCTGATGGATGCTCTCCTTTATGGTCCTTGAAGGTCGCAGCAGTGACATGGGCAGCGGAGGTCACAGCAACCCGTGCAGAGTCTCCCCTGAACCGCCGAACAGAAAATGACTCGGGCGAATGGAACCGGAGGGACGAGCGACGGCTTCATCCCCGTCCCGGAGGCGGCCTTGGTGCACCGCGAGCCGGCCGGCGGCGCGGAAAAGGCCCGGGAGGCCGAAGACCGGGTGTCCGAGCACGGGTCGCGGCGGGGCGAACTGGTAGACTTGCCGGGCGCGGCCCCGGACGGCGGCTGGGGCTGGGTGGTGCTGGCCGCCACCATCGTGGTCCTGGCCCTGACCCTGGCGTTCCCGTCCTGCGTGGGGATCTTCTACACCGACCTGCAGAACGAGTTCCACGCCTCCAACAGCGAGACCTCCTGGGTGCCCTCCATCATGACCTCAGTGCTGCACGCGGGAGGTAAAGGAGACGACCGGGCTCCGAATAGTTCCCTCGCCACTTGGTCAATGTGTAACTTTAACTACTGTAAACACTTCATTTACGCTGACGTCTTTATTAGGCTTTGAGGTAACTTTAGGTCCTACCTGGTGCTGTTGTTCAGGGTGAAACGTGAAACCAGAGAGAGAGAGAGAAGCTCTGCTGGCTTTAAACTGTCTTGCTGTGTTAGTGTTGATTTAAAGGAGATTAGTCCGTGAGAAACAGTGGCTCGCTTGTTACCCAGAGCTCAAAGGGACTTTATTGTGCTACAAATCAGGATTACAGGGTTATACAAACTTTAAAGGCAAGTTGTGTCATTTTTACAAGATGAGATAGCAAAATGACAACAAAATAACTCACAAAGAATGAAACACTTTTGCTCTAAGTTGATATTAAGTTAATGCGGGTTTCCTGTCTGGCTCATTGTGGCGAATGTTAGCAAACGGAAAAACGTTAATGTTAAATCTCCCGGGGCTTTTAGAAGATTTAAAGGTACTAGTATCTCTCCATTTGGGCTGTATTCATATAAAATGAATATAAACATTAACATCTACAAAATTAAGCTTTGGCGGTATAATATGTTGATAATAAGTTATAATGTATCATGATGACAGAAGCATGTCTTACCACACTGATTCATTATTACATTACATTACATTACATTACATGTCATTTAGCTGACGCTTTTATCCAAAGCGACGTACAGTAAGTGCATTCAACCATAGGGTACAAACTCAGGAGAACAAGAAACAAGAAAGTGCAATTATGCCTTCATTAGTAATGATTATGTAAATATTTAGTTAAAGCATCAGTAGGTTTCCATTAGCGGTGACTTAATAAATCAAAGTAGGAGAGTGAGTAAAAAGAAAAGGCTGATATCACGAAGGTTAAACAACAAAAACAGGATGTAAAGTGGATAGCTATTACTAAAAAACATGAAAACATGAAACATAGTGACACAAATGTCAGAATCCGCACCATCCTTTCTCCTTTTTTGTCAAAGCCAGGCGCTCCTCCGCCTGTTAATAATGTGAACTCCCTTCCTCCTTCACCCATTCTTCTGAAGAAGGGTGCAGTGTATAGACTGCATAGAGGATAAAGGTGAATGCATTCATGTTTCTGTCTGTGTCTGAAGCAGAATGAGAGACTTTTATTTATGGTAACTAGAGAGGACTTACAGTCCAGTCACACTGACCCAGAGGAATCTTACTGGAGTCCTCTAACTCCCTCCTGCAGTCCTTTTATGTTGCAGGGATTAAAAACAGGTATTTTTTTCATGTAAGTGGATAGAGAAGGATAGAGTCATACAAGGTGTCTTTCAAAGAGTTTTTAAACGGATGTTTCTAGAAGTAGAAGTAGTTCCTCTGTGAATTGTGACATCTTTCTGTTCTCAGGTTGGTTTAATAACGTTCAGGCTCCTCTTTCTGCCACATCTTCTCTTACAGTTTAGCAGCGAATACTATGACACATAGTAATTAATAATCATATTAAACATTCAGGAGCTCAAACATGAGCGGCCTCACATAGACAGACTTATTTAAGCCGCTGCATTTGGAGCAAATCATACAGGCTTTTTATCTTTTTATCTTTCCAGAGTGGATAGGTCAGCAAGAACTTTCAGTTTTTTTGCAGACAGGAATGCTTTGTACTTTGACATCTAAATCTATACTTAAAGTAAAGTACAGACATAACTCAAAAGAAGCAGACACAGAAAGTGTTCCTATGACTTTGGCTTGGTTGGGTTTGCTTCTCATCAGTACCTTGCAGCCGCGTTTCCCACCCACTTCGTTGGCCTTTTGCATACCTGCCTACACTACTTCAGAGTACACAACTTCCTCCTCAGGCCAAATGATGTCAGACACACACACACACACACGCACGCACGCACATACACAGCAATTAAGAGTGCACACATATTTTCAGTAATGCTTTCATTCTGCAGGTACAGATTACAGCTGAACACAAACTAATGTGCTGTGGGATCAAGGCTCCCTTGCTTCCTGCTCCGGCATTCATTAAAACTAAGAGCATTACGTCTGATCCACAGGTCCCATTTGTAGCGTGCTGGTGGAGAGACTCGGTTGCCGGGCGACAGTCATGTTGGGCGGCGTCCTGAGCGGTGTAGGAATGGCTGCCAGTTCGTTTACCCAGTCCATCGAGCAGCTGTACGTCACCACCGGGGTTATTACAGGTCAGCAAACATTCGGATGATTTATTGTCGCAGCAGCTGGAGTTCTTGGTGGAGACCGAGAGTTGCTCTTTTCAATAAATGTACAACTCACTTCAAACGTTAGATATGAGAAACAAAACACATTTCAACATTTTATTGCGGTTTATGACAAACTTCCTTATATTTGCAAAATATTGCTTGCTAAAGCGATAGGCTAAACCTTGTTGCTGACGTTGGAGAACGAGAACATCAGCACTTTTCATCAATGGAAAACATCATGAGGCTGGGGAAAGATGAGAATTCACGAGCATTTGGAGAAAGACTGCATTACACTGTGTTTTTATTCTCTTTTGAAAGCTTTATATATAACCAGAGAAAAGTAGCACGGTAACAAACTCAATGTTTTATTCATAACACTAAACAGTGAAGGGGGATGGAAAGCTGCAGCAAGGAGTCCCAACACACACAGATGAGTCAGCGTTTTGTGTGTCTTCCGGTTCCTTCCACTAGTGGAGCTAAAGTAAAGAGGAAGCAAAGCCTCCCACTGTTTCCATATGTGCACATTTCTATACGTGATGTTTAAAATCCCAACGCAATGCTCCCACTCTTAACGTGTCCTTTCGCGCTCGCAGGTCTCGGCTTTTGCTTCAGCTTCCAGCCCGCCGTGACCATCCTCGGCCACTACTTTGTGCGCCGCCGCGCCTTCGCCAACGCCTTGTCCTCCACGGGCACGGCGCTGGGACTGTGCACTCTGCCCATCCTGGGCAACTACCTCCACACGGAGCTGGGCTGGAGGGGGAGCTTCCTCGTCTTGGGCGCCGTGCTGCTGAACTGCTGCGTGTGTGGCGCGGTGATGAGGCCCCTGAGGGCCCCCGCGCGCCGCAGCCCGCCGCTGTTCATGAACAGCGGCCCGCTGCCCCCCGAGGAGGAGGGCGCCAGGAAGGGGCGTGGGAGGACGCGGCGGGTGCTGAGCTGCGTGGCGGCTTCGCTGAGCAAACACATGGCCTTCGACCAGCTGCTGCACAACCCACGTTACTGCGCGTACGCCGCGGGCATCACCTGGATGATGCTTGGCTTCGTGGTGCCCTTGATTTACCTGGTGCCCTACGCCACGGCCTACGGCATGGAGCAGAGCCGCGCCGCGCTGCTGCTCTCCATCCTGGGTCTGGTGAACATCGTGGTGCGGCCGCCCTTCGGCGTTATCTTCGGCATGCCCTGGTTCAAGGGGCGACACATCTACGTCTTCGCCTGGGCGCTGCTGGTCAACGGGCTCAGCAACGGCATCTGCTGCGTCGGGCCCGGCTTCCCCGTCCTGCTGGTGTACGTGATCGTCTACGGCCTCTCCATGAGCGTGGTGGGCTCCTTGATGTTCACCGTCCTCATGGATGTGGTGGAGATGAGCCGCTTCCCCTCGGCGCTGGGCCTGCTCGCCATCATGGAGAGCGTCACGCTGCTCATCGGGCCTCCATTGGCAGGTAACGTAGGCGGGAGGGCAAGAGGGGGTAAGGGCGGGGTGGGGGGGTCCTTGGTGTTTTAGTAATGGAGGAGCTGCTCTGGAGAAAGACTGGTCCATTGGCTCAGGGAGGCAGAAGCCACAAAACCAGTCGAAGACGCCACTCTGTCCTATGATGGTCTAGTTAGTGCACTACGAATCAGTCCACTTTGTACTGAAGGAAATGAAATGTACATGAACCATGAACACAGCATAATTAAAAACACTGAAAGTGAGCAATAAAGTAAAACATCGTTGAAAAAATCTTATTTTTCTTTAGCTTAGAATTAACTACATTCTCGTTATGTTACATCCAGTTCAGGTTCACATCGACGTTTGAAGACTATAATTTGCTGTTCATGCTTTGGTTGTGTAAACTTTACGAAACCATGGCATGTAACGTGGATGCCGTCCACCTTCAGGCTGAATAGCATTGCAAAAAGCCGCTCTCTTCACTGCTTGTTTTGAACAGTTGATACATGTTCAATCGGCTGTGAGTATTTAGGTCAATTTTTATTCACAGGAAAACAAGGGAGAAACAATGAAATAAACATTATTGTTACCTAATTGTTACTTTGGCCAAGTGTAATGATGAGATAAATGATTGATATTTGCATATGATATACCAATTCTAAATGAATGTATATATGCAAAAAAAGGGATCTTACACAAACACTTGAGTGCAGCCTGAGGACCTCAGCAGTCTGCATCTGTTCCTGCCTGTGTGATTGGTAGAATCCCAGGAGAGCTCCAGGCTATTGCTGTGAATGACAGTGTTCTAGTTGTCAGTCGCTTTAGCCGCCCCTCGCGCACAAAAACAACAAATCCGCCCTTGGCTCTGAAGTTTCAGTTCAGCTGCAGCAGAGCGGGGAGAAGGGCATCGCAGGCCTCGTCTCAGATGACAGATATTCACCGGCGTGTTTATCTGGCGGCTTGCAGCCGGGCCGAGGTCTCGCACATGCAGCGCGGTCACATGCTACTGAATTCATAACAATTCCATTGAGGGTGTCACAATCCTCATAAACTGAAGGAATGTGTGCATTTTGAAATTGGTTGCATGTCTCTACCAGGTGCGACGACTTAATCCAAATATATGTCTTTTCCATTTTTTCCATTTTACAATTTTCTAGCAATTCACCACTGCTTTAGGAATGAAGTGGAGTTGATTAATTTGCAATTAACCAAATACCTTCTTTTTCCACATTTTGTTATGTTACAGCCTTATTCCAAAATGAATTCAATTTATTATTTTCCTCAACATTCTACACACAACAACCCATAATGACAAAGTGAAAACTGCATTTTTCAATTTTTTGCAAATCTGTTAATAAAAAACGAAAACATAACATGTACATAAGTATTCACAGTCTTTGCCATGACACTCAAAATTTAGCTCAGGTGCCTCCTGTTTCCACTAATCATCCTTGAGATGTTTCTACAACTTGATTGGAGTCCACCTGTGCTGAATTCAGTTGATTGGACATGATTGAGAAAGGCACACACACCTGTCTATATAAGGTATCACGGTGACAAGGTTGACAGTGCATATCAGAGCATAAATCAAGCCATGAAGTCCAAGGAATTATCTGTAGACCTCCGGGACAGAATTGTATCAAGGCACAGATCTGGCGAAGGGTACAGAAAGATTTCTGCAGCATTGAAAGTCACAATGAGCACAGTGGCCTCCATCATCCGGAAATGGAAGAAGTTTGGAATAACCATGAATCTTCCTATAGTCGCCCGCCCAGCCAGACTGAGCAATCGGGGGAGCAGGGCCTTAGTCAGGGAGGTGACCAGGAACCCGATGGTCACTCGGACAGAGCTCCAGCGTTGTTCTATGAAGAGAGGAGAACCTTCCAGAAGGACAACCATCTCTGCAGCACTCCACAAATCAGGCCTGTTTGGTAGAGTGGCCAGACGGAAGCCACTCCTCAGTAAAAAGCACGTGACAGCCCGCCTGGAGGACTCTCAGACCACGAGAAACAAAATTCTCTGGTCTGATGAAACAAAGATTGAACTCTTTGGCCTGAATGCCAAGCGTCATGTCTGGAGGAAACCAGGCACTGCTCCTCACCTGGCCAATACAATCCCTACAGTGAAGCATGGTGGTGACAGCATCGTGCTGTGGGGATGTTTCTTAGTGGGAGGAACTGGGAGACGAGTCCGGATTGAGGGAAAGATGAATGCAGCAATGTACAGAGACATCCTGGATGAAAACATGCTCCAAAGCGCTCTGGACCTCAGACTGGGGCAACGGTTCATCTTCCAACAGGACAACGACCCGAAGCACACAGCCAAGATAACAAAGGAGTGGCTTCGGGACTCTGTGAATGTCCTTGAGTGGCCCAGCAAGAGCCCTGACTTGAGCCCGATTGAACATCTCTGGAGAGATCTGAAAATGGCTGTGCACCGACGCTCCCCATCCAACCTGATGGAACTTGAGAGGTTCGGCAAAGAAGAATGGGAGAAACTGCCCAGAAATAGGTGTGCCACGCTTGTGGAATCATACCCAAGAAGACTTGAGGCTGTAATTGTTGCCAAAGGTGCAACAAAGTATTGAGCAAAGGCTGTGAATACTTATGTACATGTTATGTTTTCGTTCTTTATTTTTAACAGATTTGCAAAAAACAGTTTTCACTTTGTCATTATGGGTTGATGTGTGTAGAATGTTGAGGAAAATAAGGAATTTAATCCATTTTGGAATAAGGCTGTAACATAACAAAATGTGGAAAAAGTGAAGCGCTGTGAATACTTTCCGGATGCACTGTATATGTAAATTTACATGAGCACTGTTTTTTGAGGATTTTTTAGAAAGTACAAATTTCAAGTAAAACAGTCAAATAGAGCATGGATCCAATAATCTGACCTTCTTTCTGCAGGAGTCCTGATTGACTGGACGGGACAGTACTTCTACGTCTTCTTCGCCTCCAGTGCCGTCGTTGCCTCCTCCGCCGTGTTCCTCATGGTGGCCTTCTACTGGCTGGACACCAAGGAGAGGAAGTTGTCAGGGCAGAGTCCACCATCCACGCCACCTGGGTCGGCCAGGCCCTCCGTGGACTTGGCCCCCGGCTGTGGGTACAGCAGCGTCCCCACGGAGGGGGACAAAGACAAGGCCTTGTTCAACGGGGCGGAGAACGTCACCGGCGTCTAAAAGCCGCTCGCACCGTGCAGATTTGCGCCAGACGCCACGAGGTTTACTTGTTTTCCACGCGGGGGATTGTTTGCGCTGTCTGACCGTAAAAGTCAGATTCTACATACCAAAATGATCAGATGTGCACTTACAGCTACGACGCGATTGTACTATTTATTGCCAAAATGCTGCCGATCTTATCGCTGTGATTACACATCAAGCCAAGTTACACACGTGCTCCTTTCGTTGGAGCAATCACTCAATCATATTTTACGTAAGCTTTAAAGATGAGAGCTACTACGAGATGAGAGCTCGTAGTAGAGGTTAAGTTCTTAAAGTCTTTAAGAGATAAAGTATACGTCTGGTTTCCATATTTTTCATACGTGCAAACCTTTAAATTTGACTTCACACAAATTTATGTGGGATGTTTGCCTTTTGAAAGTTGAACAGAGACGTGCAAGACTGAGTCTTTAAAACCAGGAAAATATAGAACAGCTCCAGACGTATCCTTTAAAATATCAATAACTAAAGACGTTTTACATTAAGCTTTTAGGCTACTCTGTGAGAGTAGAAATAGGAAATTACATTGTCATCTTTAATATCTTTCAAAGTAGAAACATGTATTTTATATGTATGATTGCAATAGATGTTTGAATCTGTTTTGTTTTCACTGTACACCATGAATATCCATACTTACTCTAAGCAGCGATTTGTCCCTTTTATTTTGTTGTATTTGGTGGTTCTCACGTTCATCCTCTGTAATCGAACAGTGCCTTTCTGTACAACCGGTGCATTTGAAACCCTTTTCGGGGAGGTAGAAGCAGATGATTGTCTATGTTGCCAGCAGCACTGAGATGTTTATGATACTGCACCTGAGTTTATCTTCAGTCCCAATCAGAGGTTTCTCACAGCCTTATCTTCTGATTAACAAAAAGTGCAATGGTTTTATGTCAGAAATAAAGTAAATAAAGTAGCTGCAATGAGAAGATTTGTTAGTAATTTTTAGCGGTTTGTCTTGCTTTGGGCCAAATTAAACTTTCTTAAAGTCTTTATTTTTGTGTTATGGTCGGGGGAAAATAAATGTTTGAATATCAAAGTAAATTGTGTTTTCATTTTATTTTTTAAAGTTTGTGTCCGAACATTAATTGAATGTGGTCATGTTTATTATGAAAAAAGTAGCTCTATTGAAGGAAAAAACACATTAATGCATCAATACTTACAATCCAACAATACACAGTATACTTTAAAATTAGTATTCAGATCTTTGACTTAATTAACATACTATGTTACAAATAAAAGGTCAGCATTTATAACTAATTAAAGTATAAAAGTGACGGCAGTGGGAGGTTTTGATCACATAAATGTCTAATTTGATCTTAACTTGTGTAATACATGAATTGGCTGATTGTGTTTTATAGCATTAATCTGAGTCTGAATCAATGTGGAAACCATGTGAATTTGAAATAGCCAGGAGGAAGCGGTTGATTCTCCAATTACTTTAGAAGGAGTTCAATGTGTAACGTTACCTAATCTGACTTTGAAAGAGGGGTTCTTCATGAAGACGCGCACCGCCGCCATCTTGCGGCGGACAGCCGTTAGGTCCGTTTAAAACGGCGAACAAGTTTGAGAGCTTTCGAAACTAAACGGGAAAATAACCTAAAAATGAGGGCAGTGTTTGCTCTGTCGGGCTCCTTTCAGGTGTGCGGAGCCGATAAAGGTGAACCCCGGCGTTGTCAAACTGAAAGTGAAACCAAAAGTACATTAACGTTAACTTAGCTAACGTTAGCAGTTAAGCTAAATGCGGACACGGCCCGGGAGCGAGGAACACACTGTAAGTGGTTATAAATAATCAATTTAACATCGACTACTTCTACGTGTTTATCCGTGACAGGTTCGTTTAGCTAATTTTAAGTGCTAAGCCACAGCAGCCCCGTGTTATTAACACGTTAGCTGAAGTAATGCTAGCTGACAAGCTACAGTAACGTTACACACCAAAAGCTAACGTTAAGCAAAACGTTGTGAATAACGTTTAACAGTTTACCCGGAAAAGTCACGAGGCTTCGTTTAAATGACCGCAACACGGTCTCTGTGTAATAACCATTTAAGCAAATGAAAACATCGGCCAAGGTAACGTGACGATGTTGTTATATTAACGTTACATTACAGACGTTTCTACTGTAACGTTACATGTGGACTGCTGTAGTCTAAAGACCAACATTTGACCTCCGAAGCATTAACGTTAGATTTTTTTTAACCTTCCTCTTGTGTTAGCTTTCTGTTACCATCCCTTGTGTTAACGGGTCGGTTTTGACCCGTGTCTTAAACCAGCTGTAAAATACACTAGAAACCATCATCTATCATCCAATTTGTTTCTCATCTCTTGGTTACCTTGTTAGGCTTCCTTATCCATGAAAATATTGGTTTTAATATTTTTGATTTGGGCCTCTGGGCCTTTTCTTTGTCAGTATACTTCTCGATTTCAATTTTAAAAAATTGTAAAATTAACCTCAAGAGAATCATATGCATAAATTAAAGGTTGTTGTGTTACCTGACTATTTTTGAGGGGTATTAGAACACATCTCTCAAATGAATTTGATTTGATTATTTTTTATTTTAATATCATTAACTATATTAACATCTTTGGTGTTACGAGTCAATTTCGACCCATATGTATTTACTTCAAGAAAAGGGGTTCTCCACTTGCTTTTTTGGTTGAGGGTGGACCTTGGTGGATGTGGGTCCACAACACAAATGCTTTACATGCAGACCCATCAAGGATGTTGTAAAACACAACCATTGACCATCTCCTGGTCATTCGATGGCAAGTGTAGGTGGCAGTCAGCTTGTTCAGGTTGTCCACTCCTACTTTTTTTTAGTTATAGTCAAGGATAATTGTGGGCTTTTTGTCACTTTCTGATGACACAGCTGCATCTTTGTGAAGAGTAGACATAAGCATCACGTTCTGTTTTTTTGGACAATATGAGACAGTGGTGGTGTCTGTAAAAGCAAACTTGAGGAAGCTCGTAGCTTTTGCCTGTGTAAATCTGTAGATTCCAGGCATAGTGGTTTTTGCTGGCTGCCCAGATTTTTTATGGCGTACTTCCCCGGCTTACTGGGTATGTATTGTCCAAAGGGGCATTTCCCTCGGAAAAGGACAAGACGTTCATCCACTGTCACCTGTGGCTCTAGGTTGAACATCATTGGATGGAGCTGCACCCATCTGTCCCAGGCATCCCTGATGGGGGCAAGTTTGTTGGATCTTGCTCTGGAATCTCTGTTGTCAAATCTGAGAACTCTTGATATCATGTGAAAGTGACAGTGGGCTCATTGAGTGATCTGTACACTCCAGCAATAAGAAGAATACCAATGTAAGCATCCAGGAATTCCTCATCAATGTCTTTCCACATGCCGCCATGGACTTTTTGTCCTTCAAGGTTTGCCATAGCAATAATGACTCTTTTTAGTGACAGCGGCATAACCAACTCTATACTGAATTGACCACACATGTCTGCCCACGGCCGTTTTTGTTAGTTTTGTTTTTGTGCAGGTATACTGGAAAAAGAGACCAAATGAGAATCTCCTAAAGCTTAAATGATTGGGAGAGGTGCTGGTTGTCAATGTGTTGGCTGACAGTGCACTTTTTATTTCAGTTTTGGCTCTAATTACTGCTTTATAATCTTATTTTTATGATTGGGTCAAAACCGACCCTAACAACACAAAGGGCATAATTTCAAAAAGAGCATTTAATAATTTAGTGAAAATTTATCTTTTTGTTTTCTTTTGTTGAAATAGAGGTTCCTGACAAAGTCAAAAAGCCTTGATGCATAAAAACAAATTTATGTGGTTCTTTTATGCTTTTAAAATCTAAAACGGGTCGGTGCCGACCCTAACACAAGAGGAAGGTTAAATGGTGTATTGTTAAAATATGAAATAATATAATGTGATGACAATCCAATGACTGAGTAACGTTACTTTTACTTTTCATGCTTGGATATATTTTGTTCCCTTATACTTGTGTAGCTTCTACCTCCAACTATGAATGCAGGACTCATACGGTCCTTTACTTTCAATAGATGGTTTACGATAAGTTAGTAATGTTATCTATATTGTACACATAGATCCTGGACTAATAAGGAACCAAATAATAAAATGGTATTAGTGAAAATTGTATGAACAGAACTTCTCTTGTGTAGATTTAATGTGTATCTTTAAACTGCTTTTCAAAGTCGCATAATAAGAAAATGCTTGTGTCAAATAACCTCCAAACCGTCCTTCAGTCACCTCCAGTAAACTCACAGAAACATTCTTCGTTCCTTTGTCAGATGCAACCTGTCAGGTCCACCAGGACAATGGGGGAACTGGCGGCACGTGGATTATTCATTCTCATATTCGACGCGGTGCTTTCCGCGGGACTGTGGGCCGGGCTGGTGCTGCTCAAGTGCTCCGGTTGCGGCGGGCTGCCAGGAGTGTGGGCCTTCGCGGCCGTGAAGTGGGCCTTTCTCCACGTATTCGCCTCCACGCTGACCGACGGGAAGCCGGAGGTCGTGCTCCGCAGGCTGGTGGCCATCCTCTGCCTCCTCTCCCCCGTGTTTGAAAGTGGACGTCTCCTCGTGAGGCCTCCCTCGCAGCCGTACACGGGACCCTCTCCCGACCTCGGCACCCTGCTGCTGGGCCCCGTGTCCGCAGTGCTGGCCTGCGTGGTTTGGGAAAAGTACCTCTGTGGTGATTCAAAGCTTGCAGGGGATGACGACAAACGGAACGCCAGGCGGCTGCTCGTGAGGATGCTGAAATACTTCAAACCAGACACCTTTTACCTGATTGCAGCGTTCTGTGTCCTCATCTTAGCTGTCATCTGTAAGTGAAATATGGATATTCTACATGATACTTTTGTTTTAAATATTCTTAATCTCTGTATATTACACAAATATAAAGGCAGATTGTTTTGAAAATGCGCTACAGTAAAACAGGTGGACACAGTAGTTGTTAGCAGGTGTTTCATAAAAGCAGATGAGAAAAATACATTATGTGTATTTAAAAGTTTTCTTCAGTCCATCTAAATGAAAGATTATTGTTATAATAAGTAGTTACACCACAGAAACATTGTATTTATCATGTCCTGTCTTCTTTCTATGTGTCATTCATCTTTTTTCCTGACAGGTGATGCGTTTATCCCACTTTATCAGGGGAAGGTAATCGATATGCTCAGAGGTCAACCACTTCAAACCAGCTTCGGTTATGCAATTGGACAGCTGGCACTTGTCTCTCTAGGAAGGTAATGAAATGAAACTGCATTTATTGTCATCCCACGTGGTACAGATAACAACAAATTGAGTACCTCACCTGTCTGATTGTAAAGATGTAATGTGTTTCAAGTATATGAAAAATATTAATCTTTAATGTCTCTATCTCAACAGCTCTCTGTTCTCTGGCTTAAGAGGAGGAATATTCATGTGCACGTTGGCCAGACTGAACAAGAGACTGAAGCATCTGCTGTTTCACACCCTCATGCAGCAGGAGGTGCACTTCTTTGAGGAGAACAACCCTGGTGGGAACAACATTCAACAATTATTTTGTCATCATGCAACACGGGATGCACAACGGCATTCAGTTGCAGCTATTTGGAATAGAAACCGCAGCAACAAATATCATTCTGTGGGCGGATAACATATATACATCGTATTAATAATAATAATGAAACACAAAGAAAAAACACATTGTTCGTCAAATTGGACTAATGTTTGTGATAATGAGTTTTGACCTCTGACCTGCTGTCAGTAGACTCTTTTGAAAACTCACATTTGTTTCCGTAACCTCTGTAACAAACGTTGAGACTCTGCTCAGCACGTCTCTCGTCCCCCTCCCTGCTCAGGACGCCTCTCCTCCCGCCTGCACTCGGACGTGGACAGGATGGGCCGCACGGTGGCGCTGAACGCCAACGCGCTGGTCCGCAGCTCGGTGAAGAGCTGCCTCATGCTCGCAGTGATGTTGGGCCTGTCCTGGGAGCTCACTGTGCTCACATGCATCGAGATGCCTCTCTTGGCCATCATGCAGAATAAATATATCGCCGTGTCTCAGGTAGGTGTGACGCGTTGGAGCCTGGACTACTTTAAATAGACAACGATAAGAAACAGTGCTTGCTTCACGTTTCTTTGCCTTTTTTGCTTGTTTGGATCCTATTTTTGGTCGTTTTGCAAAAGTATTCCCAGTTGTCAGAGACATTTTTCCTCACTTGTATGAAGTGTATTTGTTGTACTTAAGAGTAATTATCTGAACATCATTGTACATAGGGATTGTCATCAGTAATTAACTCACTCTGCTGTTGGTTTCTCTGACATCAAAGGAGCAAGTATCATCCTGTCCTATCATAAGTGTTTTCCTGACCTATCAATGGTAATAAACACAAATTTTAATGATACATTAAAACATTAATACTTAGTGGTGGTTTCAGTCACCAGTAAGTGGAGCCCCAATGCAAAATAATACTGATGTAATCAGTGATGATTGGATTTTGGAGTTTGAATGTCCAGTGTGTAGTGTTTCTCCCAGAGACCGAGCTGAAGTAGCAGTCTGTAGTTCCTCCTTGTATATGAGCTGTCACTCTGCTGGATACGGGAAGAAAAGCAGCTGTGAACTCTTGAGGAATGTATTGCTTTAACTCACCAAATTAACAATCGACACCAATTGGACATCCAAATGAAAAGTGGCAAAATATCCCTTTACGAATCAAATAGGACCTCAGTAGAGTTGGTTTTCTTTTACAGAAATTAAACCAAAGCGGCTTTTAACCCTCTGCAATATGAGCTCTATGGAACTGTAGCGCTAAATCTGACATCGGAGATTAAGAATAAGACTTCAGCATCGGTCCGCTCACGCGTGGTCTCTTTGTCAAACAGGAGCTGAAAGAGCAGATCCAGGACTGCCAGGCTCGGAACAAAGAGCTGGCTCTGCAGATCATCGGAGGGATCCGCACGGTCCGCAGCTTCAGGGCAGAGAAAGACGAGATGAGGAGGTACAACGAGGCTCTGGACCAACTGTGCGCCGTGAAGACTCGTGCAGACATCTACAGCAGTATCTTCACCTTAATACGGAGGGTAAGAGGAGCAGGCATTCCACATCTTAGGATCATACCAGTTTACTTACTTAGAAAGTAGCATGTGGAGCTTTTTTTAATTCCCTAGTATGGAGGCTTATTTCCACCAGGAAGGCAACAACAAATGAATGCAAAAAAGTTATAATAATAACAAATAATTATAGGATAGAGAGTCAGAAGTTTAAATTGTTCAGAGTGAGTCAATGTAAGTGATTCTTCTCTGTTGCCATGCAGCTGGTGAGTCTGGGGATAAAGGTAGTAATGCTGGTTCAGGCCCGTGCTCTCATCTCGTCGGGTCACCTCAGCCTCGGGAGTCTTGTGTCCTTCTTCTTGTACCAGAAGCCCATGTCAAACAATTTAAAGGTGAGCCGAGTTGCAAATACATTCAATATTTGAGTATACAATGCCGCTTGTTGACAAAGAGGACTTTGTTTTCATCACAGGAGATTATGTACTGCTTCAGTGAGACCATGTCGACAGTTGGAGTCATCTCCAAAGTGTTCAGTTACCTTGACAGAGTGCCGAAGTGGAAGAACGAGGGACAGTTAGCTCCAGAGGAGCTGGAGGGGAGCATCGTTTTCCAAAATGTCACCTTCACTTATCCCTCCGCTCCCGAAGACAAGCCGGCTCTGAAGGTAACTGACCGCAGACTTAAGAGTTGTAGTTTAGTGACTTGAATGGATCAAACGTGGATCCAAAAGCTGAGCCATGTGATTGTGTGCAGTCGGTGTCTCTGGCGCTTCGGCCGGGGAAGATGACGGCCCTGGTCGGCCCCTCCGGCAGCGGAAAGACCACCTGCGTCAGCCTGCTGAAAAGGCTGTACGAGCCCCAGGAAGGACACATCCTGCTGGACGGAGAGCCGCTGCACCGCTATGAGCACCAGTACCTCCACCAGAAGGTAAGGTCGGCTTCGTGAGACGAGCCTCAAGGGCCCCGTGTCCACTAAGCGCCTTCTGATGAACATACGAAGGGGACGGCGTAAAGGCGTCGCACCCAGCGAGCGAATTAACACTAATACAATACATTCTTGCTTGTTTAAGAGCCAGTGCACTGATACACTGATAGGTGTCTGTTTCCGCCTTATTCTTCATATTGTGTAGATGGCCCTGGTTTCCCAGAATCCCGTGCTGTTCTCTGGTTCACTGAGATACAACATGGAGTACGGCCTGAAGGACTGCAGCATGGAGAAGGTGGAAGAGGCTGCAAAGAAAGCCAATGCAGACAAGTTTATCTGTGAAATGGAGAACGGATACGACACAGGTAGAGGTGCTGGGAGATCTGTCTTGTGACTGGAACGGCGTTACATTTGAACTTTTCTTGACAGGGGCCAGGGCTCTTTGTTCATAGTTTAAAAAGGGTGTCCGGCGGGCGATTTTGCAGAGATGATTGAAGGAACAATCCGACGGAGATCTGGTATTTATTTTATATTGGTTTGGAGTACTAACCCTCGGGGGTTTGTCGTCCTCGCAGACGTCGGGGAGTGTGGCGGCGCTCTCTCAGAAGGGCGGAGGCAGTGTGTCGCCATCATCAGAGCTCTGGTTCGGGAGCCGCGGGTCATCCTGCTGGATGAGGCCACCAGCAGAGTGGATGTAGAGGTGCAGCACGCTGTGAGTGAGGTAAGCCCAGCACCACTTATAACACACATCTAAAGAAAGAACAGGTTTCCCTTTCTTTTTTTTTCTTTTTTTTACAAGGGACGTGGCGGCGAGCCGAAACCTGAGCAGCTACATGGCATTCAGCCAGAATGCATTCCTTTCTTCAGAGCAAGTTGTCCCAACCTGGCCATTATGTTTATGTTGATTATATTATTTTGACATCTGCTTCACAACAAGATTTTATGTCTTGGTGTTTGTGCCTCGGACAAAAATCTAAATATGACATTTATTTTCAGCCGCTTATCCTTCCTGCATGAAGCTGAACGTCACTGGGGATTGTTCTCTAACCATAGTAAAAGTTTGAACCTCAACTAGTGGTCCTCGTCTGCTAAATTCTGTCCTTCCACCTCTCGGGCCTCGTTGTCTCAGGTGCTGCAGGAGGTTCTGGCTCGAGGTGGAACCGTCCTGGTGGTGGCTCATCAGCTAAAGACAGTGGAGACGGCGGATCACATCATCTTCATGGAGAAGGGAGCCGTCGTGGAGGAGGGGACGCACCGTGAACTCATGGCCAAGAGGGGGCGCTACCACCGCTTGAAGGAGGAACTGTTTTCGACTCAGTGAATTAAGTTTCACTGTTTCTACACAACTTTGAGCTGCAACAAGTGAGCTTTGTCTCGTGAATCTAAATGCAGGAACTTGGCCGAAGGATTGTTGATATCAGATACAAAGCAGTGTTGTTGTCAGCTGCTAAACCTTCAAGAGAGAAAAGAAGAAGTGTCACGGTGTGGTTCACTTCCTGTCTTATTTTGTAGTTTTCTCCCACTCGTGTCCCCGGGTAACTTCACTTCCGAGAGTGAACATTTTTCCTGGACAAAAAAGAAGATTAAAACAAAGTAAGATTCCTGAGACATTTGATAAGATATTCGGGGCAAAATATTGATTGAGTCGTCCACAAATACTAAAAACAAGGCATAGGAAAGCCGTAGAGAGGCGTACCTGCTCCTGAGTCTTCCAAGGGCGGAGGTGAGGCGGTGCTCTCCGCTCCCTCCTTTTTATAGACCCAGCTCTGTTGCAACACCCCGGCCGGCTGCTAATGATGCCGCACAATCCGAGGCTCTCCGTAATGGTCACTTAAAAGAGCAACACTGACAGAAAGTAAACATGGAATTGTTAAGCTCAAGGGTGCAGTGACTTTCTGATGCATAGGGTCAAATTTACACGGCTTACAGCAGAATGGAAAGGCATCTGAGGCAAAGGTAAATAAAGAGAAAAAGAGCATTGGTAGATTACAAGGTAGATCCGTGTGGTCCTCTGCTTAATGGATTACAGCCATACAGCACGTGTTGGCCGAGGACGCACCCATTGCTTGCTCTGGTACAACACGCGGCGCAGAAAGCAGATAGCGACCAGCGAGATGGGGCCGAATGGTTCATACGTGTTTGGGTTTCAGAAAGATTGTAATTACAGCAAACGCGGGGGGTGAAAACGAAGGGGGATCTCTGAAGGGTCACACAATCCTTACAAATTAAATTTGAGCATTTGAGC